GTTGTCTCACTTACCGAACGGAACGCTACCCTGTAACGCTTGCTTCTTCGCACCGGTATTCTGTGAGGTCGTGGTACTTCCCCGGACGGACGTGCCCATTCGTGTATCAGCGAAGACCGTTGCGGAGCCTAACCACAGTTAAAATTTTGGATTCACTGGTGCACACACAAATTTGTGAACCACAAACATGCGGATGTGCTCTGTGCCCGTGATTTTGCTTGAGAAACGTGGCAAAATTTTGACGTTTGCAAAATCATTGGTGGCTAGAAAGTCGGGCGCATATGGCATACTGGTCTTATCTCTGGACACCCCAATACCAGCTCCATTGATGACGACAAAGAAGAGCTGCAGTGGACGGCCAGGTCCATGGAAGTATGATCGGTTCGACCTTTTGAGTTTCGACCCTTCGCATTTTATAACGCGTTTGTGAAAGGATTTCTGGGGTTAACACCTGCTCAGATTCACCACCGTACTACTCTAAAAGCCACCAAATGCCATCGACAACACCTTGACGCTTGGGGGTCCACCGCTGAGCGTTTTTGTGCTAAACACAGCCATTTTGTGTAATCAGTTTTAGCCAGCGGCATTTCTTGACAGTTACGACTTAGGGACCTTCACATATCTAAAAAAGTAACGCAGTTGTGACTCCTCTGATGTTTCAGGTATCCAAGTTTGGCAGGTGATGTCTTACCATTAGGTGTCTTGCTCGCTCCTTTGCCTAGTTTTCCATAAAAAAGTCCGTAACTAAGTCTGTAACGTGTCATTTTTTAATTTTGATAAATTAACAATATATTACGTTACCGATGTAAATAATATATACAGTGGGCTTATTTTGGCACATCAACAAGTTATCAATATTTCATTATCTGACATGCAATAATTTGTAATGAACACTGAAATTTGCCTATTAATAAAAATAAGAATAAATTAATATGTAAATATACATATTATCAAATAGAGTACAGCCAAAAAAACCGAAATTAATTATATGACAAGGCATATGGACAATTATGTTAGACAACACGTAATAAATTTCTCAGACCATGCATATTGCAGTGTCCGAAACGGGAGTTTAAAAACATGATAAAATTAATGCAAAAAAAAGGTGTGTATTTATGCATCTAAGTTTCTATGCACTTCTTTATTGTACCACCCATTTATGTAATTCAAAAAATTTCATTAAAATCGGTACAGCCGTTTAGGAGGAGTTCAGTGACATACACACGTACAGAAGAATTATAGGTATATATTTTTATTTTTTATTTTAATGTGAAAAGTTGCCAACCGAGCAGGCGGTTCACCTAATGTTAAGTGAATTCCGCCGCCCATGGACATCTGCTGCATCAGAGGGTTGCAGATGCTTTGACAACATTTGAAAATTGGGCTCCGGCCACCTCACTCACCAGACGAAACGCGAAAGTATTATACTTCCACTTCACGCCGGTCTTCTGTGCGGTCGAGGTACTTACCCGGACGAGCCTGCCTACTCGTGCCACAGCCGAGGCTGCTGTGTGGCCCTACCACCGTAATGTATAGATAATAAACAACATTTAGGTATTTATAATGTCCAGCACGCATGTTCACTGAATAAATAGCGCGTGTCCTTAGTTCTTGCGCGATACCATGGCCACCCTTGCGCGTTCTTAAAAATATGAATGCGAAAAAATAATGGGTTTCTAGCGCTAATATTTTACGCTTAAAATTAGACGGAAAGTTGTCCGATTCCGCTCTAATTTCGTCCCGAGACCGAATTCTGATACCTCTGCATTCGTGTTGTTATAAACCGACTTCAAAAAAGGAGGAATTCATTTATTATTACATCAGAACTTGATTCATTATCTTGTTTATTACATCAGAACTCGACTTTAAAAACTCTTTTTGCATTGCATACACAGTGTTATACTTTGAAAAGTTACTTTTATTGTTCGGAATAAGTTTTGGGTTAATTTCAATGACTGGAGTCCAGAGATATACCAGATATATGATAGATATAGATAACTGCTCAAAATCGAATAGAAAATGTTAAGTTCGAAAAAAAATATTATTGTTTAAATGGTTTTGTTTTTTGTTAATAACAAGTCCATTTTTTTACTAACGAATAACAAAACTGACTTCAAATGTCGCTCTGTATTCATTTTATAATTTTCAGGAGCTCCTTAAGTATCTCCGGAGCCCAAGATACACTACCAACGAAATTAACGGTGGTATTAAAACATGTAGAAAAAGTACGAAAAGATTGTCGCCGCTGTGGGAATCGAACCCACGTCTTCGGCATTCGCGGCCTGACGCTATAGCCACTGAGCTAAACGGCTGATAGCCACAGCGACGGAAATCTTAACGCCTTCTTTCTACATTGTTATTTAGCATTTGAAGCAATGCTTGGCGCATCTAACGGTGGTAGCTTACTTACGAACGTATTAATTTTTATGTAAAATGTTTACGTTTCATAAGAACGCGCAAGCGCCTATGTGAATAAATATATTTTTTATTTTGATTTTGAATATTGGACCACATGGGAAGCACCAGCTTTCAAATAAAAAAAGAATCAGGCAAAGTTCTGAAAATAAAAATACAGTCGATTCGAGAACGTACTCCTTTTTTGAAGTCGGTTGTAAATGAGTAGGTGGTTCACGCGATGTTAAGTGATTATCGCCGCCTATGGACGTATGCTACACCTGTTGGCTTACAGGTCCGTTGACAACCTCTAAAAGAGTTATCACACTCGTCAATTTATAAGAAAAAGTATAGTACATCTGCAGTTTGCCCATGTTAAATGTTTGCACAGAGCAGAATAAAGTCTGTTTAAAAAAAAATTGTTGAAATGAGGACGGAAAGTTTTCCGCCGCAGTGAGGATTTGAACCTCCTTCGTACGGGATAGACGCCCGTAGCTCTAGCCATTGAGCTTAACGGCGCATCTTCACACCGACGATATTTTCTGTTCGATATATCAAGGCCGATGGTGATATTTTTATAAATATCGATGCATAGATATATCGATGTACATAACTAATAGGTCACGACATTATAAATCGAAGACTCCATCTAAAAACGTCCATTGTTTATGAACCACTCGCCTCCTTTATTGCCAAAGGGTGAGGCTTGTGCCGATCACGCTTGACTTGTCGCCCATTTATCGCCTGACAGGTTAAACCCGTCGCCGTGCATTTCTAATATGTAAGATGGCGGATTTGGAGAAACTTGCTGGTGCCTTAGGATACGAACTGGAGATCTTACGATCGCCTGGCCGAGCTACTAGTCCACGAGTGTCCATTTTTATTATGGCAGGCTTAAGTACTAGGCCCAGCCCATAGCGCGCCCCATACTAACGACCATTAAGATATTGGGGTCGGCAGGAGTGGCAAATTAAGCTAGACCGTCGACACGCGATCTCTGTTTTATACGTATTGTGTGTAACTGGCGACCCGCCACGTATAACTGTTTTTAGATAAAACTTGTTGTATGAGTACGATAAGTTGATTATTTAAAAAGTGTAATTTCAAAGTGTCATCGTAATAAGTAAAATATTAATTATTGTAAATTAGCGATAAGGCCTAATTTAGTTAAGGTAACGAAACGCTGGTTTGTCAAGTAAAAAATGTAAGCTCTCTGATTGGTCAACCAATATGTCAACCAATCAGAGAGCAGGAATTTATTCCCACAGGCACGTACAAATATAGCGGCGATTCAGGGCATCATCGCAGTCGACGATTGTCAAGATCTACCAGTGGAATAAGTAACCAAGTCAGCAAGAAAGAAGAAACTGCAGCCTGGAAGAAGAGGAGGAGCCTGCAGTTATAGAAGACCGTTTTATTCATAAGAAAATACTGTACAGAACGTCTGAATAAAAACAATTCTTTCTGTCTTCACGACATTCTTGTTTCTTTACCAATCCAGCACACTGAAATGTGCATTGCGCATACTATTTCTGTTTTTTTCCTACTATAAGCCATTTCAAGGTTATCCATTAATTACCGGACAAACTGTACAAAGAAATAAAATTATTAAAAAAAGGGTATCTTATTTAGAAGAATACCTTATGTTATTCAGTCTAAACCTCGCTATATCATACATATTTAATAAACCCTAAGTATTCTATAAGTTTATTTTTCGTCAATAGCGAGAATCATAAGCTTTGCGTTAGGATTAGAATTTTTTCATTTATAAATAATTATGTAAATATTTACATAATTATTTATAATAGAGTTATGGCGTAGCGACATTATTATAAATACATTGGAGAAATAAAATACAAATATATTATTTATATGTTTATTTAAATGTGTAGATACTATTTATATAAATATTTATTTGACCCATTATGTACCTATGTATGTAATCGCAAAAGTGCGTTCTGTGGATATAGTACGAGTCGTATTGAAACTTTGTGTTTATCTGTGTCTTTGTTAATTGTTCGCATGTTTACTCGTTCCGATTTATCGAGTGGTCGGGTACGAGGTCGAGTGAGACCTACTGGCCTCTTTAAGTCGAGAGCCCAGTCAAGGGCTAGCGTAATCGGTAAGAGACTATTGACGATCGCGTTGAATAGGTCTGCACCACAACAGAACAACTCCGAAACTCCCCCCAAGATTCGAACCTACAGCTTCATTTTGGACCTCGATCGTTTGTCGGTTACGATAGTCTTGGAACAAGATATTTAAATAAGCCATTTCCAAGATTTAACTGTACTCAAGATTTGAACCGCTTGTCTCGTTTATCAGTGTTAACTCTTTTTTTTAAAACATTGCCCTTACTTTAGGATAACATAATCCTGTGTTGTTAGGACGTTGTGTAAACATAAATTTCACGCGTACAAACACCCAGATGCGAGACAACTATCTGCGAGTCACGCGTTCGTGTGGGAATCGAACCCACGACCCCCGACGCCGTAGGTACCCTTGGCAACTGCGCTGCGGAGTCGCCTCCATTGGTTGATTAACTGTCGTACTATTTATCCACACCACACCTCGACGATTGACTGACCGTCATTTTGTCTTCTCAGGTCAGAGTTGGAATCCGACGAGGACAATGAGGTGGACAGTGACGTCACGCGCGACGGTACCCATGAGATGTCCAACCGCGAAGATGACGAAAGACCACGGTACATCGACGACTTGGCGGTGAACAATGGTGGGGTGGAAGTTAGCGACGTCATCGTCGAGACGTTTCCCTATCCAGCCAGCGGGAAGCCGGAGAGGATGCAGGAGTTGGAGCCCAGTAAAGACGCGGCTGCAAGGATAAGGCGCCAAGCAAATGAGACAGAAGCGGAGGCGACCATCCCCTCCGTCGCAGAGAGCAGCCTCGCAGAGAAGCCGGCCATGGTGGTGAACACCACCTTGAGGGTGATGGGCCTGAGAGTGGAGGAGGCGGACAAGGAGCCGAAGATAGTGGACGAGATGATACCGAGCGTGCTCCGCGAGACCAAGTTCACGATGCGACTGTTCGGCGAAGGGTTCAGCGAGAGCACGGAGATCGCCTTCACACACGTGCCGGAGGATTTTGGCACGCTGTGCCACTTCCTCCTGGCTGGGGAGTACAAGGTCGGTTAAGGGTTTAATTCAATAAATAAATATTTCACATTTTTTTTATGTGAAAAGTTTCCATGCGAGCAGACGGTTCACCTGATGTTAAGTGAATACCGCCGCCCATGGACATCTGCTACACCCGAGGGTTTGCAGATGCGTTGACAACGTTTTGAGAATTGGGCTCCGGCCGCCTCACTCACCAGACGAAACGCGAAAGTATTATACTTCCACTTTAAGCCGGTACTTACCCGGACGAGCCTGCCTATTCGTGCAATAGCCGAGGCTGCTGCGTGGCCCTACCACCGTGAATATATCACACCACATTTTTACACAGCGTTCTCTAGTCCCACTTTCGCACTACACTAAAATAGAACACGTAATTTTTTTGGTAAATAAATGCATTTCCATTCTTTCTTTCACACTACACTAATTCGTAACTCTTGCCAATAGGTACAATAGTTGTTCGAGCCGTCTCCAACTTCACATCTTAATATAATCTGTTGCTTATGCTTCACTTTATAAATCGAACGATCCATCAATCGTTTATTTCTTCTTTTTTCATTGGCTTTCCTCTAGCTATTCACCTTAGAAGCCTCCATTTTTACTTATATTGTAAAAATATAGATATACAACAATGATATTACACACAAATACAGATTAGATATGACACTAGCGCACCAAAACCGAGCCACTCAAATTACACCATTTGTGTTCTATATCATCTGTCATATTCACTTATTTATGTCATCCTTACTAATATTATAAAGGCGAAAGTTTGTATGTACGGATGGATGTTTGTTACTCTTTCACGGGAATACTACTGAATGGATTTTAATGAAACTTTACAATAACATAGCTTATACATCAGAATAAGACATAGGCTATAACTTATATACATGTTATATCTGTCTTTCTGTCTTAATGTTACGCCGTCAGCCTACGCAGTATATTCTACGCAGACGTCGCGGGCAGTAATTAGTTTAATATAAAACGAAACAACTATTAAATTTATTAAAACATCATCGACATACAGAAAGACGCAAACTGTGTTATCCGTTCCCTTATCGCACAATGGTTATTAAGGAACCGACATCACCAGGTCAAGGAGGCCAGCGCGGACTCGGCCCTCTTCGAGCTGACCGCCCCCCAGCCGCTGGAGGATTACAGGTTCTACATCTGCGCCAGGAACAGCCCTGGCGGCGACTTCGTCCACCAGGGCCGCGAGAAGTGGAAGATCCTCGGCACCCACAACAAGCTGCTGCCCCTCTGGGCCTCTCTAATCCTCATCGTGATCCTCCTGATGCTCGCGTCCCTCTTCTCCGGCCTGAACCTCGGCCTCATGGCCCTGGACCGCACCGAGCTGAAGATCATAGCCAACACGGGAACTGAGAAGGAGAGGAAGTACGCGCGCGCCATCATGCCGGTGCGCGCTCACGGAAACTACCTCCTGTGCACGATCCTGCTCAGCAACGTGGCGGTGAATAGCACGTTCACTGTGATCCTGGACGACCTGACCTCGGGGCTGGTGGCCGTGATAGGGTCCACCCTGGCGATAGTGTTCATAGCGGAGATAACGCCGCAGGCGATATGCGCACGCCACGGTCTATTCATCGGGGCGAAGAGCATCTGGATCATGAAGGTGAGTGGCCCGGATTGGATGTTCCACTAATGGATGATTAATCACGTGATGTTTCTTAAGCATTTTTAACTCGCCCCCTCCTCCCCTTGGTGATGCGCGGTGAGGTTCAAGACTACCCCCGCCACCCCCAACCAAAATCACGTGTATTTTTTAGTACCTACAAAGAATCTTAAATTTTTTAGAATTTTATCTTTAAATACAGGTATATAGTAGTCTATCTAGGTTACGATAAAAATGTAACGGCACACCACTCGCCGCTTATCTGTTTAGAAATCGCTCGTTCGACGAAAAAATAAAAACTGAGCTATCACGGCTCTTATAAAACATAAATAAATAATTAATTAATTAGAAAGATAATCTTTATTTGTAAAAACATAATGTACCTAAATTGCATATCCGAGAATAACTTGAGGCTTATTGAAACGCACCGTTCCTATCTCTAGCCCTCCAAATTTACATTGAGACGAATTTAAACGCGAATAATGAAGTTCCTCCCATTCTCCCGCTTTCTAATCACGCCCCGCCACCAGATCGTGATGGGGATATGCGCACCGCTCGCGTGGCCGACCAGCAAGTTGCTGGACTACTTCCTAGGCGAGGAGATCGGCACCCACTACAACCGGGAGCGGCTGAAGGAGCTGGTCAAGGTAGGTCTACGCGGAGTGGAGCATCTAACCTCGGGGGGTTTTTGTTTAAAGTGGATTGCGATAAAGTTTCAAGTTTCTTTATTTGTTGGCAAATAGGTACAGAAAATATTTTGGTCTTGTTATCTTGTCGTCACAAATGTCAACCTAACCTATTTAGCTAATTTTAAAGTAAAAGAAAGTAAAGTAACAGCCTATACATGTCCCACTGCTGGGCAAAGGCCTCCTGCATACAGTGGGTATCAGGGCATAGTCCACCACGCGGCCCCACTGCGGATTGGCGGACTTCACATATCTTCGAAAAAATATTTTTTTTTTGTTATTATTTCGAAAATATGCAGGTTTCCTCACGTACGTAGGACGGACATATTACATAGGTAGGACATATTAGACCAGAGTTCCCCAAACTTTTTTGTGTCGTAGACCCCTTGCCATGTTTTTCCGTGTTGGGTAGACCTCCTACTTACCTGAAATTGATTTCCTGTAAATTTCTAACTTTAGTGAAGTTTAGTGTTAAAAACTTAAAGTAAAAACACATATTAATTTATACATTTATGTATGATGATTTATACATTTATGTATGATGTAAGTAAATAGGTACTATCAGTGTATGTGTTGAGATCCACTATCGTGGACCCCCATTTTCATTTCATGGACCCCCAAATTATTTTTCGCTGACGTAGACCCCTTGCAGGTTGTCATAGACCCCTAGGGGTCGATATAGACCATCACTGTATTAGATAGACCATAATTATGCGGAATTTGATTCTAAACCTGAATCTAGTACGTACTTGAGACCTTAGATTATTTTTAATTTTTTCGAACATTATGGACACCTTAAGAAATTCCTGCCTGACCGTCCCAATACAATAACATATTGACCAGCACTAAAAGTGTTCGCTGAACGCATAATTACTAAACCGCTTATCAATAGGGTGACCACTCTTAAATGGATAAACAAGCAATGCCTGTTTATTTCTAGTCAAAATAAAATATTTATATATTTTCTTAAATTTTGGAATGCTCAATTAACATTATGTCAAAGCATGTACTTCGTGAAACAAATCGTCCTGTATAAATATTTGACCATCAATAATTAACTGTAATAATTATAATAAAAACATTTTTTTTAATGAAAGTACACGGCGATTGAGCTATTGTTTCACCCGTTGTTGTTCATTGTTCATGCGTTGCCACCTTTCAATATACTGGGCCACACTCACCAAACGATATGCAGAGTACAACTTCAGCGTCAGCGTACACCTTCACTTGCGATCTAGTAGCTGACCTGCCCATTCGTGCAACAGCTGAGGCCGTTGCACGAATGGGCAACTGTCGCTCTAACCCCCCCCCCCCCCCCCCCTCCCGCTCCCGCCAGATCACGAACCACGTGAACGACCTGGACAAGGAGGAGGTGAACATCATCTCGGGCGCCCTCGACCTCCGCAAGAAGACCGTCAGGGACGTGATGACGAAGCTGAAGGACTGCTTCATGCTGCCAATCACCAGCGTGCTGGACTTCGAGACGATGTCGGAGATAGTCAAATCAGGTCGGTGGAATGTCCTCCCCTTTCATTAGCGTATCATCATTAAGTGAACCGTTAGTATATTTAGGCGCTGTATGCAGTAAAAATAGGTTTTTCATGAAGTTTTTTGACAAAATCTATACATTTTATAGAAGCAAAAAAATATGTTAATCTTGATGTAACATTCTAATGGACCATTGTTTTCAAAACATATTCTCGATATATTATCTCGATAAAAAAAAATCACGAACCTACCTTTAAACGTGAAATTCAAACGAAAAAAATAGATATAATACATGAACAAATCTTAATGAAATTAATATCAATGGTGCAGAATATATTAATTAAAAGGACTGTTGACTGAATTTGTTGATTGAAGTAAGATATTTGTAAATAATAAATTTAATTCATTAAAATTAATTCGAACGCGATGGCCAAAACACCGCGCCACCGCGGCGTTGTTTCGGCTCTCTTCCAACTCCACACGTTGAACAGAGAGCGCTGAGGCGCCTTGCTAGATGGACCTATGCCGCTCATCGCCCGCTCATCGTTACGAAATATGTTTCGTATTTATTTATTATTGACAGTTTTAATATTATTAGACCTTCGAAAACACGAAACTAAAAAATATATATTAACATATTTCGTATTTATAAATTATTTGTATGTATTAACAGTTGTTAATTAATTTATTTAAAGCATAATTTCCATGTCCTATCTCGTGATTGATTGGTCTATGAGTCCTATACATACAGTGTATAGGACCATCATTCTTTATGGATTGGGTTCAAATACCTAATTTTTTTGTTGTACTTATTGTTGATTTTCTTATTTGGAAATATTTCTTATTACCATGTAATTATTGTTGAAATTTTTATTTTCATAAATAATTACAACGAAATATTATTGTATTTGTTCAAAGTTGAAACAGTTGGAAACAATCTATCAGTAAATAAACCAACTTTTAGTATTAAATTTTTTTAACGTCATCTATTTTTTTATTAATATATTTAATTGTTCACCCTAAAACGAAAATTTATCTTATACACGAAAAATATTTTTTTTATAATTTGTTTATTTCTCAAATTGAGCCATTTTATAAAATAAAAACAAAATAATTAGTTGGCTAACAAATTAAAAGTGAATATAATATAAAAAATACAACTTCACTCGATGAGTGGTTTGAACTTGGGACTACAGCAATAGTTTACCGTTGTGTATGACGCCCGGACCAACAGGCTAAGCGAGGTCTGTGTAAAGTGATAAAATTTCGATTGTAGTTATAATTGCTGTCTTTTATCGATACAAATAAGGATTTTATCTATATTTTTTTAAATTTCATTTTAGTTTTTTTTTATGTAAAAAGCTGCCAAACGAGCAGACGGTTCACCTGACGGTAAGTGAATACCGCCGCCCGTGGACATCTGCTACACCCGAGGGTTACAGATGCGTTGACAACCTTTGAAAATTGGGCTCCGGCTACCTCACTCACCAGACGAAACGCCTTAATACCTTCTCTCTGACATAGTCACTCGCTCCAGCCATGACGTTAAATCCTCACCATCCTCTGCCGTTCTGCCGTTCCCCAGGGTACTCCCGCATCCCCGTGTACGAGGGGGCGCGCGGCAACATAGTGACGGTGCTGTTCATCAAGGACCTCGCCTTCGTGGACCCCGACGACAACACGCCGCTGAAGACCCTCTGCCAGTACTACCAGAACCCGTGCAACTTCGTCTTCGAGGACGTCACCCTGGACGTGATGCTGAAGCAGTTCAAGGAAGGTGGGTCCCAGCTCGCTTCAGACCTGACCCAGGACCTAACGCTCGGCAGCCATGTCAAGCGTCAGGTCCTGGGATCGAGGTGCAGAAACCAGAACTATAATAATAAACGATAAATATTTCGCGACATGTTTTTTACAAAACGTCATCTGGTCCCGAACTAAGCAAAGCTTGTAGTAAGGGTACTAGGTAACTAATAAATCTACTTTAACGTACTTTTTATAAGCCGTTTAGCTTAGTGGCTAAAGCGTCAGGCCACGAATGCCGAAGACGCGGGTTTGATTCCCATAGCGGCTACAATATTTTCGTACTTTTTCTACAAATTTTAATAGTACTTTTACTTTTTTAAATAAATACATATTATAGTTATATAAACACCCAGATGCGGGAAAAACATTATGTTCATCACACGATGTTCTTCCAGTAGTGGGGATCGAACCCACACCCTCTGGCGCAAGAGTTTCACTATCCACTGCGCCAATCTGGTAAAAACATGCCAATTGGGACAAAAAAATTACAAATAATACGAAAGACCCACTGGCTATTGAGCCACTGGGTCTTTTTCTACAGCTATTGAGCTGTGACATGTTCTCACTCCAGGATTCCCGTGGATTGTTTAATCAGGGGTGGGCTCTGTGCCAAACTGTTGCCCAATTGCTAAAGAATTTTGCGCACTGGTCAAAAATATATCGCGGTCTAATTTACGAATCATATTCCGTACGTAAGTATCGCTTTAAAAAAGACGTGGACGTCCCTGATGCTTGGGTGTACGCCAAGAGTGTGACGTCACCACTCTCCCTCTCAATCACTTTCGTCGAGATGACGCTGGTCACGTTTCATCTTCGTCACGATGACGTGCCGCTGACGGGGACATCTTTGAGTTGTCGTCGAAATGACGCAGACCCTGAACGGACCGTCGCGGTCTATTCCCGTTTGAGGATGTCGTTATGTAAATAGTCACGAAGCAAAAGACGATTTCGAGACTGTGTCATTATCTTCGACCATAAATGAATTTTTATTTTTATATGCGAAGGTTACAAGCGACCCCACAAATGCGAATACTCATTTCGGATCATAAATACATTTTTTATTTTAATGCGAGCAGGTTACAAGTAAATCTGCAATAATACCAATTAATCTTTCAAGTTCACAAAGAGTTTCAACTGTGGCAGGGCCACGCAACAGCTTAGGCTGTTGCACGAATGGACTGGTCCATTCGGGTGAGTACCACGACCTCACGGAATACCCACGCGAACTGCATGTATTAACTTTAATGGGCCCCCTTTGTTAAGTGGCAACGCCTCTGCAACCCTACGTGTGTTCAAATCAAATCAAATCAAATGTATTTATTCAACATAGGAGCATTACACTCACTTATTGATAGTCAAAACACTACCACCGGTTCGGAAAAGAAAGCCACTGTACTGAGAAGAACCGGCGAAAGAAACTCAGCGGGCTTTTTTTTTTTTTTTTTTAAATAAGCAGTTTGACATAAATTCGTTAAAATACAATATAAGAACTCCGATTGAAAGAGCCTGGAGCGATCAGTTCATTACCAGAGTGTGTTATCATTAATATTATAGTAGCCTTTAACACACAAACGTTCTTTTACTATTTTTTTAAATTTAGCTATTGATGCATTTTGAACGTTTTCTGGAATTTTGTTGTAATAACGTATACATTGTCCCATAAAAGATTTACTTATTTTACGGAGTCTACTTGTGGGTAGGATCAATTTATTTTTGTTCCTAGTATTTATATCATGAACATTATTATGTCTTAAAAATTTATCCTTATTTTTATGGACATACAAAACATTTTCAAAAATGTATTGAGCAGCAACAGTCAATACCTTTATCTCTTTAAACAAGTTTCTTAACGATTCTTTGGGGCCCAGATTGTAAACTGCACGAATAGCTCTCTTTTGTAAGATAAAGATTGTATTAATGTCGGCCGCGTTACCCCCAAAGCAGAATGCCATAAGACATTATACTGTGAAAATAACTAAAATATACCAAGCGAGCCGTATCAACATCAGTTAACTGTCTTATTTTTTTGACCGCGAAAGCTGCTGAGCTAAGTCTACTCGCCAGTCTATTAATATGGGGGCCCCATTGCAGTTTGGCATCAATAGTTATGCCAAGGAATACAGTTGAGTCAATAGGGTCCAACGCTTCCCCATATAAAAGTATATCAGTTTTTACATGTTTAACATTGGAGGAAGTTGTAAATTTAATACATTTAGTTTTTTTATTATTCAACAGTAAATTGTTAGCACTGTTGCAAGTTGATGTCAGCCCGCTTGTCACCTTCTCATATAAAAGAAAGAAAGCCATTCAATAATAACGCCTGTTGCCAGCGGGGCCCAGATTATTAAAAGGTGGCAACGCATCTGCAATCGCACCTGTGTTGTAAATGTCCACAAGCGACGGTTATCACTTGACATCAGGTGAACCGCCAGCTCGCTTGTCACCTTCTCATTCAAAAAAGCCATTCAATAATGACCCGTATTACCAGGCCACAAGGGTCACATGGCGTTCGTGCAGCGCATCGAGGAGGGCGACGGGGACCCCGTATACGAGACGGTGGGCCTGGTGACCCTGGAGGACGTCATCGAGGAGATGATCCAGGCGGAGATAGTGGACGAGACGGACGTCATCAGTGAGTGTTTGAGGGTTTTTTTCTCGAAACGTAAATCTTTACATTTACAGTTTGAGCAATTTAATGTTTACAAAGCGAGCAAACTATCTGTGCTTTTATTTTAACGACTGTGCTGACCAATTATTTTATTGGATGCCAATTATTTTTCTTTAAAAGTAAATTTTTACATTTACAATTTGAGCAATTTAATGTTTACAAAGCGAGCAAACTATCTGTGCTTTTATTTTAACGAGTTTGCTGACAAATGATTCGCTTGACTGTAAGGAAAACGCCAAGTGAACTAAGTCAATTATTATATCATGATTTATTGCTTTTACAACTTTATTAAGCAAGCGATTATAATATTAGCAATACGTCGATTGCAATACTGTCTCGTAAAGGCACATCACGACTCGAACAAAGTGGGACGTAATCGAATGAATGAATGACTTAAAACATAAATCCCACTGCTGGGCAAAGACCTCTACACAGAGGGTATTAGGGCGTTGCAGTCTTACCGCGAATTGGCAGACCCAGCATATCTTAGAAATTGCCTTGAAGGCTTCCTCGTTTCCTTCATCAGGGAGCACGTGAAACAATAAGTGATGTAATTGAATGAATTAATGAATGACTTGAATCAACAACAAGACATATCCCACAGCTGGGAAAAGACCTGTTCTTCCTCATAATGTTATCTTCACCGCCGAGCATGTGAAAGTGGTAGCTAGTTCGTGTAGTTTGTTTGGTGTGTAAAGAATGACTTGATACATTCCCGGAGCGCGTGAAACAATGGGTGACGTAATATAATGAATGAACGAAACTGCTGGACGAAGAGCTCTGTTTTTCCTAATGATTTTTATCTTCACCGTGAGCACGTGAAAGTCAGTGTAACGAATGACTTGACAATTAACACCCCCGCCCCCGCCCCCCCCGCAGGCGACAACCGCACCAAGAAGCGGCTGACGAGGCCGCTGAACAAGTTCCAGGACCTGGCCTCGTTCGCGGGCCACCAGCCGCACAGGGTGCACGTGTCCCCGCAGCTGGTGCTCGCCGCCTTCCAGTTCCTCAGCACCAGTGAGCCCTCGGTTCCATCATCATCATCTACCCCCCACCCTCCATTTATTGTATCTATGCAGGGTGGTTAGACGAAGTAAACACTTCGGCATAATGTCAATTGACGATTCCACAATTAAAAAAGAAATATTAATATTTTATTCTCACAAGAAACAAACAGAGAAAATATCAATTCGAACATTGTTTGTTTATCCCGTTAAGAGTGGTCACCTTATTGATAAGCGGTTTAGTAATTGTGCGTTCAGCGAAAAGTTAGTGCTCGTGAACAGGTATTGTGTTGAGACGGTAAGGCAGGAATTTCTTAAGGTGTCCATAACGTTACAAAAAAATTAAAAATAAACTTTGAAAAAAAAAATTACGTCACAAGTACGTACCAGATTCAGATTTAGAATAAAATTCATATGCCCTGTTAATATGTCCGTCGTCTATAAAATCACCCTGTATATAAAATAATCATCATCATTTCACCCTGTTAGAGACAACTGCTGAGACAAGTGTTGAATAGGGGGTTTTATGTCATCTTTGTTCTTTAGTGGTTTTAATAGTTGACGATAGATGGCGTTAGTTCCTTTGTGTGTTCATAACAGTATTTTCAGCCGACTTCTAAAAGGAGGTTCTGAAAATGTTTAACTTCGGTTGGCTATCTTAGTAAGTTTCTTCATATAACATTCAACACAGGGACATACAATAGAACCAGGGCCGGATTTAGGGGAGGGCAACCGGGGCAACAGGCCTGGGGCCCCCTCCCATCTGTGGAGAGACAAGACAATAGTGACTTCGGAAAAAAAATTCAGACTAGTAAACAACTTTTCCTTTCATATATTTTTTCGCGTTTTACTTTTACCTGCAGTACTTTGTACAAACATGATTACATTAAATATTGACAGAAATCAATTCAAAATAATTTGGAAATATAATGATAAATCTGGCCCCGAAATAACCGCTGTAAGATGACCCCCCGTTCCGGTTGACGATTTTAGTCGAGGTCTGTACCATACAGGACAGTGCCATACAATATGACCGTTATAAGTTGACCCCTCATTCCGTCTCCCGCAGGCGTGGACCCCTTCCGGCAGGACATGATCTCGGAGACCGTGCTGCGCCGGCTGCTGAAGCAGGACGTGATGCAGCACATCAAGCTGCGGGGCGACGAAGACAGGAACGACCCGAAGAGATACGTCTTCCAGGAGGGCAAGCCGGTGAGGTGCTCCACGATGCTCTGAGCGAAATCTACGTTCCTCTGTGTGAGAAGGTGGCAAGCGAGCTGGCAGTTCACCTCACGCTAAGTGATAACTCACCGCTGAGAAGTTGGCGGTTCACCTGATGTTAAGTAATCACCGCCCATGGACATTTGCAAAGCCCTGCTTTGGGTTGCAGAGTTGCTAGCTTTTAATAAAGTAGGTACCGGTTACCACATTTGCATGGTGGTATGGCCACGTAGCAGTGTTGCACGAATGGGCAGGCCCGTCCGGGTAAGTGTAATACTTTCGCGTTTCGTCTGGTGAGTGAGGTGGCCGGAGCCCAATTTTCAAAAGGTTGTGAACGCATGTGGAACCCTCGGGTGTAGCAGACGGCGGTATTCACTTAACATCAGATGAATCGTTTGCTCGGTTGGCAACTTTTCACATAAAAAAAATCGCCAGGCGAAACGGAAAAGTATAACATTTCCACTTCGCGCCGGTCTTTTCTGAGGTCGTGGTACTCCCCCGGACGGACAACAGCGTAGACAGTGGCTGGCCCTACGACTGTTGTATTTATCAAAATATGGAGCCTACTAGCGTCACGTAGTGACAGATATTTGGAACTAAAACTGTAATGTCATTGTGTGTTTTAAAAAAATCAGCAGTCGCAAAAAAAATTGTATATGTCCTCAGCACACGCACGTTGTTTTATTAAATGGTAGCAGAGTGGTTGCGAAAATAAGTGAATAAGAAAAAGTACAGGAAAAAAATAGTCCAAGGCGTCATACAGCTTGACATAAAATTCATGTCATCGTCATCATCCCAGCCTGTTCAAGTCCACTGCTGAATGTAGGCCTCCCACACAGACTGCAACAAGGTAACATCCTGAGCCACCCGCATCCATCGACTTCCAACACATTTGCACATGTCGTCACTCCAATTAGTGGGATACTACGATGACTGCACCTAAAAACTCGAGAGGCTGATTCCCGCCACTCAGCTAAGCCGACATTCTCGACGTCTTACCCACCTAATTTGTTTTAACAACGGGTGAAAAATTTTGCAGACAGTTTTATCTGTACATTTTTAATTCTCGTCAGAAGTGCAAGGCTGGCACTAAAAATTAGAAAAAAAAAACAAATTGTACTGATAAACGAAAAAAATTATATTCACTACTAGCTGTGCCCGCGACTTCGTCCGCGTGGAACTTAAAATAAAAAAAGATTCTAAAATAAAAGTACCCTGCGTTACTCACATTACATCAGCTGTCAGTGAAAATCCCGTCCAAATCGGTCCTTACGTTTTAAAGATTTGCCGAAACAAACAGACAAAAATTAAAAAAAAAATGTTATTTTGGTATATGTATCGTGTATACATCCATATGCATTTAGTAAAAAGCGGTTGTTTTAACATTACAAACAGACACTTCAATTTTATTTATCTGTATAGATGATAGTTCATAATATTCCCTCCTGCACTCTCCCCCAGGTGGACTACTTCGTGCTGATCCTGGAGGGCCGTGTGGAGGTGACCGTCGGGAGGGAGAACCTCGTCTTCGAAGCTGGACCCTTCACCTACTTCGGGGTCCAGGCGCTGACGCAAAACGTGGGCTTGGGTCAGTGCAGTTTACATTTTTACGTTGGTTCTCTCCACTCGTCAGCAGATGGCGTTGTCGTTGACGTTAGTGCGATCTTCGTTTTTTTTCTCTCCATCTGTCACCAGATGGTGTTGTCATTCATTATGAATTAGCATTGCAGTCTGAGACTCTTCATTGCTTTATTCTTTCTTCGCCAGATGGCGTTGTCGTTAATTGTTTTCCGACCGCATTAATAGATAAATCTAAGTGGCAATTTTAAGGCTGAATTTATAAATTTACATAAATTGACGAATTTAATACATATTATTCCTCTAAAAAGCGACACTTATTGCTGTTTATAGTACGTTTTTGACGTAAAAGGTGTTGATTGCAAGTTTAGGAACAGGTACCTATTGTTATAGTTGAGAAATATCAATCGAGTGTAGTTACAATTTCCTGTAATGTTAGTGCCTATTAAATTTTTCACTATTTTAATTTATATAGAAAAACTTTTGTATGTATGTTCTATCTGCATATGTTCATAGTTTCGACGTAAGCGACGCATACAAAACAACGCTGCACCTAAAACATTCGAATCGCCATAAATCGTTTCGGACGATTCGAATGTTTTTTTTAAATTCTTTAAATAAATTTATATGGAACTATGACGCAGTTGCCAAGGTATTGGCTACGGCGCCGGGGCATGTGGGTTTGATTCATGGGACAACTATTCGTGTGAACCACAGATAATTGTTTCAGATCTGGGTGTGTCCACGTGAAAATTTTGTTTTGTAAAATTACTCACAGCTCATGATAACGTTTTCTTACGCTAAGCGCAATGTTTTCAACAAAAGCACCAAAAAAAAAATACATTAGATAAGATAAGATAATCATTTATTGCCATAACTGTACCATCGATGTTACATGTTACATAATTATTTAGTCACCCGTTTGCCCATTTCGGACGCGCAATTTGAGAAATGTAAATAATATAATAAAACGTGTCACTTGGTTCTACAATAATGTTCATTATGACCAGTTGAAAAATTACGATTTACGTACTAAAAATCACCGCACCACTTCCAACTTACCATTGGTCTTCTGTTTATCAACCGACATCAAAAAAGGAGGAGGTTCTCAATTCGACTGTATTTTTTTAATGTGTGATACCTCAGTGATTTCGATGATTCTTTTTTTTATTTGAAACCTGGTGCTTCCCGTGCGGTGCAATATTATAATTACCATTGGTATTAGATCTTGTGCTCCGGAGATACTTAGGAACTCCTGAAAATCACTGCATAGTATATAACAAAGTCGTCCCGCTGTCTGTCCCTATTTATGCTTAGATCTCTAAAACTACGCAACGGATCTTGATGCGGTTCTATTTACTAGATAGAGCGTTTCAAGGGGAGGGTTTATATGTCCAATACATTGCACCCGCGCGAAGCCGGGTTATGAAATGAATACGGAGCGTCGAGATATTTGAATTCGGTTTTGCCTTTCGTCGTTGAAACAAATCGACCCGTTCACGCTCACGTTTTGCAAGTGGCAGGGCCACGCAGCAGCCTCGGTTGGCACGAATGGGCAGGCCCGTCCGGGTAAGTACCACGACCTCAAAGAAGACCAGCGTAAAGTGGAAGTATGACAAATACTTTCGCGTTTCGTCTGGTGAGTGAGGTAGCCGCAGCTCAATTTTCAAAAGGTTGTCAACGCATCTGTAAGCAGATGTCCATGGGCTGCGGTATTCACTTAACATCACGTGAAACGTGTGCTCGTTTGACAACTTTTCGCATAAAAAAAATTGTTCCCCTCCCTCCGCAGCCGAGACCCCCGCGCCCTCGACCCTCGGCTCCCTGCAGAACCTGAACATGGACTCGATGCTGCGCCACACCTTCGTGCCGGACTACTCGGTTCGGGCGATCGCCGAGCTGTACTACCTCACCATAAAGAGGTGCGTGACATTTAAGAAATAATATTAAGTTTGTATAAGGCCACCCTGCCTTTCTAAAGGTGCCCAAATGCACACAGGAGAATCAAACTCGGTAATATAATCGTTTCTTGAAATAAAAACAAACTTTTTTTTTTAATTGACATTCCATTCTCTAAAAAGCAGAACTTGTTGACAATAGTAGTCATTCATAAATGCGTCGTATACTTTTGAAACGAACTTGTGTGCGTGTTAGTTATGTATGATCGCGAGTAAAATAAATGAGCTGCCCATAAATCACGCACTTTTCGAGAGAAGTTCAAATGAATGTAATTAATTAATTACATGTGATTTTAAATATTTATCATTTTTTATATAACACTAGCTGACCCGGCAAACGTTGTTTTTTTCCCGTATAAATTATTTGTAGGGTAGAAAAAAATGTTTGGGGTGGACCACCCTTAACATTTAGGGGGAATGAAAAATAGATGTTGTCCTTCTCTCCACCCTGGCCGATATGCACACAAAATGTCACGAAAATCGGTCGAGCCGTTTCAATTACAAACACCGTGACACGAGAATTTTATACAGCGTGTCGTTACCATCGCGACAATAAATGAACACACGTCTAACGCTACTTGCCAATAATCATAAAAAAATGTTAACGTTAAACAAAATCCATAATTAAAAAAAAATATTTTTCAAACAAACTAATTAAGTAAAAAAGAAACAAAATTTGTAACATCCTATAGAACTCGCGCCACAGCGTCGCATTACAAGCCTCTCCTTCTAACAGTATGTTTTGTCTCTTTTAAATTCATTCAACACATTCATATGTTTAATTTTTTTCACCTTTACAAATGAACTTTACGTAACAGTTTTATACGTAAGGGTGCTCTAAAATTGTTTGTTTTGGAAAATTTAATAACTCTGTAAATATTGATGTTTAAATAATGTAAATGTTTAATACAATTTTAAAAAGTTATCCTCTATATGTGTGTTCATTTATTGTCGCGGTGGTAACGACACGCTGTATAGTAAAAAAAACCGTAAATGATGTATCAGTGAGGCATTTATGCAAAGGAAGATATCTAAGAGAATGATATCGTCAAACATACCAAAGTCTTTACACAAGAGAACTCTAGGTTTCAAGGTTCTTTAGTGAGAAAAATTGGTAAGGGATCGGGCGGTTCTTACCACCACCCATGGACATTTATAAACATCAAAGCGAATACAAATGGGCTACAAACCTTTTGAAATTTGTAGAAAAAAGGAACGGAAAGTTATCGCCGTTGTGGGAATCGAACCCACGTCTTCGGCATTCGCGCCCTAGCTCTCTAGCCACTAAGCGAAACGGCTGATTCGCGACAAACTTTTCGTACATCTTTCTAAAAAAAATTTAAGGTATCACTTTTTTTGTTCATGCGAGAATGCGTCAAGCGAGTTAGCGGTTCACCTGATGTTAAGTGATAACCGCAGCCCGTGGACATTTGCAACACCCGTAGGGTTGCAGATGCGTTGCAACCTTTTAATAAAATGGGGCCCCGGCTAACTCGCTCACCGGACGAAACAACACTTCTGTAAGGTTGCGGTGCTCCCCGTAGCTGACCATTTGTATGACACCGAAGACCGTCGCGTGGCCCCATTAACGTAAACTAAAAATGCGTTAGACGGAACCAAATAAAAGAACGAACGTATGAACGATGAACCGTCATACGTGCATTCCCGTTTCGGCTGTATGAACGAGTGAAGGAATGATTTGCCAACTGCGAATGAACGGTTACCCGCAGGTCCATGTACCTGGCTGCCAAGCGGGCCACCCTGATGGAGAAGGGCGCCCTTAACAAGGGCGGCACCAACGAACAAATCGAGCCCGAGGTGGACAAGGTTAGTACGCAAACACACACACATTGACACTGTAATACATCCCTTAGAAATTATTTTTTTTATAGTGCTAATCTCTGCACTTAAGATTAAACATTAAAATATGTGTTAGTACGCAAACACACGCACATGGGACACTGTAGTACATACCTTAGAAATTAATTTTTTTATAGTGCTAATCTCTGCACTTAAGATTAAACATTAAAATATGTGTTAGTACGCAAACACACACATGGGACACTGTAATACATCCCTTAGAAATTATTTTTTTTATAGTGCTAATCTCTGCTAAACTTAAGATTGAACATTAAAATATGTAGAAAAACTACGAAAAGATCGTCGCCGCTGTGGGAAACGAACCCACGTCTTCGGCATTCGCGGCCTGACGCTCTAGCTACTGAGCTAAACGGCTGATTGCCAAACAGAATAAAAAATCTTAACGTCTTTTGTCTACATTGTTTCTTGGCATTTGAAGCAATGCTTGGTGCAAATTAATTTTAATACATCCTTTTATTATAAATAAATATTTTAGGCCAAATTTATACACAACGTTCTCTAGTCCCATACTAAGCAACGCTTGTACTATGGGTACTAGATAACTGATAAACATACTTAAACATACTTTTCTTTTGTAAATAAATACATATTGTTACGTGTTAGGGGTTCGAAGGATTTGGAGAGAAAGACCTGCTGACTCTTTTGAAGACTTTATTCAAGCACTAGGTCCAACACAAAGCACTAGGTCCAACACAAAGCACTAGGTCCAAACACTAAGCACTAACGATGTCCTATTTTGTAGCCAAGTCGTAGGTTTCACTGGTATCGCTCTTGATCACTAGTTTTCGCTCCGACGTCGCCTCGAAGGTAGCTCAAACTGAACTGTCATCGCTCGCCTCCCTGCGGCTTTTTATATGGGCCGAGACCGGTTCCGGACTAATCCAGAAAGATCCTTCCTGGAACGTACCCGACACGCACGAACATGTTCGCGATTCCGGAAAGTTAGCGAATGTACCCGGTTTTCGAGACTAAAGTTCCACAGCAGTTCCTCTAACGCCATCTAGTGTTGAATAGGGGGTTTCATGTCGTCTTTGTTCTTCAGTGGTTTTAATAGTTGACGCTAGATGGCGTTAGTTGTGACCTTTGTGTGTTCATAACAATATTATACATATATTAACACCCGGACACTAGAAAAACACTATGTTCATCACACAATATTTTTCCAGTAGTGGGGATCGAACCCACACCCTCTGACGCAGAAGGCAGGTACACTACCCATTCGGGTCGTCAATATTATGTGTACTATCTCTTTCTCACACGCACATACCCACATAAGCATGTACACAAACATGAAAGAAACTTAAAGACATCCATTCTCTTACTATTTCATTGTCTCTTCACCAAATAAAATATTTAAAAGTCCGAGCCCTCTTGTCTGTTGACTTTAATCTGTGACAGAGTATAGTGGTATGACAATATCTTCATCATTTCAGCTGCTCCGGGAGGGTGATAGAATCGAAGAGGTCCCTGAGAGAGAGAAGCCTCCTAGACAGGTGAGGATTATTTAATGAGATCAAAGATTCATACGTTTTTTATACTAATATAAATACAAACGTCTTAAAATGTTCACTATTATTGTTCCTATTAATTCTATATGAAGAATTATATTTGGGTAAAGCTATATATGTTTCTTTGCACGCTGCTCAGACTCTGGAAGTGCCTACTGAGAAATATTAAGACTCGGTTGGTATCCGATATAGACATAAATATCTCAAACAATGTATTCGCCTATCTATTTCTTTCAATGCCAATCAATTTTTGTGAACAGGTTGTCTTTATAATCTGTATCATATTTTTAAAAGTTATATCCTATAAATTAATTGGTAAAACTATATATATATATATATATATATATATATATATATGTAGATTTTTCAATATAAAAATGCTCCACACTTGAAAACACTAGCCACAAAATGTGTGAACAGTGCTTTATTGAAAATAGAAAATTAATTCATTTGTTTTATCACCGCCAAACAGTTTCTGCCGACCTCCGCCAGCCCCCTCACCAATTCCACCTTCAAGGCGGCAGACAAAGATGGCAACCCTGAGGAAGAGAAGCTGCTGAAGAAGTAATGGAAACGGGCGACTGCCCCAACAATGACAAGTGCTTAGCTCCTAAGTGACGTTTTCTAACTTTAGAACCGTAATGTTTCACTTATAGTTTTTTTTTTTCACATAGAGGCATTATATTTTTGCTGTAAGAGTATTTTATTAACGAGTATAAAAGAGAGAATATGTAAAATTATCGTTAATAGTATTTAACAGAGAGCATTTTTTCGTGGATTTTTTAACTTAGCATAAGTGGATCCTTAGGTGAGGTACTTATTTTTTTTTAAACATGGCGACCCTTTTGCCGCCCTTTTTTGACAGCCGACGGTTGCGACATTTTGTGGCGCGCGCTCGATATCATCTCCATTTTGTTATTTGTTAATATAAACTATCGCAAGCATCACAAATCGTTGATAAAATAAACTGTTATCATTATTATTGTTTCATGCGAGAGTTATTTCACACGAAGTGTCGCATTTCGTCCGCCTTTCTTATTGACGTATGCGATTGTTTAGATATTTTATGGATGATGTTTATCATTGTTTTTTATTAACTCCTTTATCATATAGTATATTGACGCGTTTAGTATATGCAATTTGTTGAATAGTGAAAAATTATGAATCGGTCACTTTTGTATTAGCGTATTTTAGGAATTTATCCGCGTTTTTTTTTTAAATTAGCTTCGTGGGAAACGCAAAGCGCAATCCCGACTTAGATATTTTATTGAAATGTTTATACGTTTCGAAAATGAAATCCGATAACTCTTATCCTGCCATAGACAAAGTAGTTGTTTTTTCACTAATTAATTAACATTATGAATTTATTACCTCAAGATGCCTTTAAAATTAGTGCCTTGAATCGGTGCTTTTTATATAATCCAATTTAATGATTATGAAAAAGAAATATTTTAAAAGTAAATTTACGAATTACCTGAGAACCTATCGAATGATATATACAGTGTTCTCCTAGAAAAGTATTAGTTGTTTACACTATATCCTAAAATGTATACCAAATTTTCTATTTAAAAAAAATTATTCTTTTTGTAACTTGACTTGTTTAATGAGAATGTATTGAGAATTTTTTTTATATTTTAGATCATGTAACATATCGACATGTTTCGATAAAGAAAAGAAACCTGCTTTTTAATAAATCATGAATTTTACAACTGACTGTCGATATGTTTTATTTCTGTATTCCATAACAGGATCCAAGGAGTCGTTAACACTAGTTTGATCTCCTGTCCTGCTTTGCATGGACTGAAGAATCAAAATTATAAAATTTTAAATTATTCACTGCATTAATTCTACTAGGACAGACATATATGTATAATTTGAACCTTTACAGTCATACTTTTGTATTAAACAACATTTCCTCGTACTGTTTGTAAGAAAACCTCACAGCAACACAGACCGCAATACCTGATTAAGACGAAATGCATTGCCTAATCCAAGTCGGTGGGGACAGTGCAAAATGTGAATCATGAAACACCAAGGCGCAGTAGCCAACAGGGTATTGGCTTCGGCGTTGTGGTTCGTGGGTTCGATTCCCACACAAGTATCGTGTGACCCACGGATAGTCGTTCCGCATCTGGGTGTTTGTCCGCGTGAAATGTATGTTTGTAAAACGTCCTTACAACACAGGATAATGTTATAACATTATTTTTAACATTAAGGGCATTAAAAAAAAATCAACTCCGCCGGGAGAAACAAAACAAAACGGCGTTAAAGTCCAAAAGTAGTTTTATTTAATCATAGTCACTACTCATTAAACTTTAAGAGACCAAACTTGTTGACAACATATCAATATTTACTATAAACTCTGTGAAGCATCTCATCAAAGGCCATTTCTTTACATTACTAAATGAAACTATTTTTACGGTGACCAAGAACACTGAAGGTTTCGAAACATCGAGAAATAAAATTATAAATAAGCGCGATAAATCAGTAAAAATTATATTCAGTAATGTGTATTGCGTATATACAAGATATTATCACTATTTACATTTAGAAATAAATAATACAGTACGGAGAAACTCGGTGGAGAGATCTTGCTGTAAAGTTTCATCAGATTCTACAGTGTCTAAACCTTGCAGCCTAAATATGATAGAAGAGCCCTTGACAAATCTTAAACGAATAGGAGACGCGCACGAAGGGCTCCGTACAATTATCTATAAAACTGCAAAAAAACCATGTCTGTTTTATGGGAGCCCCAACTAAATGTTTTTTTTTTAATTTTATTCTACTTTTTAGTATTTGTCGTCATAGCGAAAACAGAAATACATCGTCGGTGAAAATTGCAACTGTCTTACTATCACGGTTCATGAGATACAGACGGACAGTAAGCGGAGCCTTAGTAATAGGGTCCTGTTTTACCCTTATGGGTACAGAACTCTAATAAACCATTCATCAGTCCATAAATCTCTAAGCAGTTTTGGTGAGTACAGTCCTCTTTAATTTCGTAGTTCACAATAATATAGTGATTTTTTATAAAGTAGTTAACTGTCTAGTAAATTACATTAAAAAAAATAATGACACAATATTCCAAATCATGTACATATCTGTCACAGGTGTATATATACACTTACTAACATTACATGTTGTTCTAATAACGTATATAAATATGGTGTTGTCTGTCTATAAGACTGTGGTCTCATACTGATAAATCACGGTAGCCCAATCCCATGGGATTTAAAAAATGGGGGGAATTCCGTATTTAAATTAGTTTAATTGTAATGGACACTCATAAGAATGAGAACGTAATTCGTAACTTCAATGTAGCACTGAACGCTTTCATTTAATGCTATTACGTGGCCAATTTGCACACGTCTTCGTATTGAACATTTTCGATTATCCGTCCGCTGTCGGGTCCATCGGTTATCTGAAAAAGTTAAAGTTGTTAAATTGTACGAAAGATAAAAGGTACGAAATTGTCGCAGGTCGAGATAACGTCAGTCACAGCATGGTATGTAATGATTGGCTAAAGTCTTTACCAATGACGGCTATATAATTTGAGAAGCGGTAAATATCAAAATATCAATGTAATTGTAATAATAATAAACATCATTGTTCGACCGTCATTATCGGTTTTAGCAAATTGTCAATAGATGGCGCTATCATACATTTTTGCCGAAAACAATGACTTTGTTTTCCTATTTTTCGTCAATAGCGGAGAAAATAAGTTTTAAAACCATGTTAGCATCATTCGTTTCGGCAAAGAATTCGTGGAGATATTATGGCGTTACCACAAAAAAATTACATTGTGAAGGGAATGAATAATATCTATTCCGTTTTACTTAATATTACTAAATGCGAAGTATGGATTAAATATTGATAAATTAATTACATAATATTCAGAAATAAGTAAAGTTGCAGCCTGAAAAGCAAGCAATATCCAAATGTTGGACAAAGGCGTCCTCAAGAGGTATTAGGGTATAGTCCACCACGCGCCCCCACTTCGGATTGGCGAAATTCATGTATCTTACAAATATTTTTATTTTTGTTATTTACAAATAATACAAAGACCTACTTGTTTGTCACGAAGTTATGTTCAAGTGTGACGGATTGCAGTTTGTTGCCAACTATTAAAAAGCGGGCCCCGGCTGCCTCACTGATTAGACAAAACGCAAACATACAATTACACTTCCATTTTTCTCGTCTTCTCTGAAGCCGTGGTACTTTTCTGGTACAACAGCAAAAGCTGCTGGCCCTGCCCCAATTAACAGCCTTCCTGAACCAATCCCACATTTCTATTGTGGTACATATAGCCTGGAGGTTCAAGGTTGGTCGTCCAGGATCAATCCCACCTTTGCTCGTGGCCATTTGCACACTATACATTTTATATGCTACATATGACCTAGAGGTTCGAGGTTACTGGTTCGGAATCAATTCCATGCATGCTTGTGGCCATTCGTAGGCTATGCATTGTTCGCATAGGTTTGGAATTGGTGGTCACCTGCAAGGAGCAGCAGAACTCCTCGACGTTGAGCTTGTGCAGGACCCCGATGGTGCCCCTGTGGGGTCCGTTCACGAAGATCAGGTTACGTCCTGGCGATGGTATCACCGTCTGAAGGTCGCTCTGGAAAAATGAAAAAAATATCAATGAAAGCGAATGGACCTTTTGAAGTTATACTTAATTTGGTGCGTTTGGAAATGATGATGAGAGTTATGCGATAACTGAATGCGACACCGACTTCCGTGGTGTTGCCATCGCAACCGATAATAACTTTTTGTAATTTTTTTATATGACAAAGTGGCCAATAAGCTGGCGGTTCACCTGATGTTAAGTAATAACTGCTGCCATTGGACATTTGCAAGACCCTTAGGGTTGCAGACGCGTTGCCCCACCTTTCAATAAAGTGGGCTTCAGCTACCTCACTCACTAGACGAAAAGCAGAAGTGTAACACTTCCATTTCCCCCCGGTCTTCTGTGAGGTCGTGGTACTTACCCGGACGGACCTGCCCATTCGTAACATTTACCTATAATTCCAACTTATTCAATTAAATCGTGAGCCGTGATAGCTCAGTGTCCGGGCGTTCGGCTTTAATTCAATATACTCGAGCAACCTGAGTTCGATCCCCGGTGCCGGCACCAATGAAGTTTTTAACTTTAAGTGCTGACTGCACGTGCTCCGCGGTGAAGGCAAACATCGTGAGGAAACCTGCATTTTTTCGAAATAAGAACCAAAAAAATATTTCGTAGATATGTGAAGTCCGCCAATCCGCAATGGGGCCGCGTGGTGGACTATATGCCCTAATACGCTCTGTATCTATCTCTATAGGAGGCCTATGCCCAGCAGTGGGACATGTATAGGCTGTTACTTTACTTTACTTTACAATTAAATCGTTATCGATTGCTTTTCTTTTTTTTAGAATACAAAGTACTGGCACACTAGATAAATTTTTTAATTGTTTTTAATTGTATTCTATAATGTAATGGATGATTTTTCAGAAAGAAATACTTTCCTTTTTAATACTCTCATTCCAATTTCATTTCGAGTGGGAACTGACGATAAAAAGTGTGACACGAGACGTGGCGATTTATCGTAGTTAATGACACAAAGACCACCGGTGATCGCTGAACTTGGAGGTCAATCAAATAATTTTGTAAACCAACTTCCTATTCACCCAGTTTAAAGGCAAACAAAGATTGTTATTACTATAACTATTATTATAAAAAAAGGCAACCCCAAGCCCGGGGCCATCCCACCTGGTGCACCTCCATCTCCAAGTTGTCATCTAGCCTCACGAGACACCGCCGCTTCCCCGTCAGCCGCGCCACCACGCCCTTCTTGTTCTGCAACGGCCCCTTGCCAACCACCTTCACCACGATGCCGGGCCGCAGCCACGATTTGCCCCTGCAACCAACACCCATTCGACCATACCCTCGTGTGTGCGGTGTAAACAGAGCTGGGACGGTGACCAGCAATAGGCTGCGCTCCGTAACTGACCACCGAACCGGCCAAACCCTCGGGGAGTACGGAGTAAACGGAGCCGGGACGGTGACCAATTTATGGTGGTATATGATTATTGAGATGTGCCTTTGTCCCAATAGTTAGGGGGGTTACTGCTCTGACATCAAGGTGACCTTCGGTGTGCGGGGTAAATGGAGCTGTGACGGTGACCATCAATACCGTCATGACGCCTTCGACCCGGCGAGGGTGATTGAGCGCTACTGTTAGCGGGGGTTATTGGACCACTTCTCTGTCATCAAGGTGTAGAGGAGAGTCACCGACGATTGTGGATTTAGTGAGTGAGAAACCCACGCAAACTCGTCATCCTAGACTGAGCTCGAACTGCCCCCACTTAAGCCAAATATGAAATCATATTATCTAGTTATAAGGTCGAACTTTTGAGTATATAATACGAGGAGGCTTTGCCGTACAACAACAGATGTTTTATTGAAATATCTAATAATACCAGTGGTAGACTAGTGGTCGACATTCTGGCATACATAATTATGCATGGTAGTGTGTGTAAGGTTTTTTTTAATTAATTTAATGTATTTCTATACATAATTAAAAAAAAATATTAGCATTATGCACTCCTTCTCTATATACACTATAAGTGTGGAAAATTTCATACTCCTCCGTTTAACTCAAATATTAATATATACAGGATTAAGTCTTTCACTTTAACAATAGTCAGCGGTTATAGATGTCCACTGCGTTCTACTGCTATCTATTGTAGTCTTCCCTTCAAAAACTGTCCCCTTACTGTGGGATAACATTATCCTTAGGACATTTCAAATTCAATTCTTATCAATTACATGTGGGTCACACTCAGGATTGCCAACCATACTTTATAATAACGTATTCTAATTTATTTTTAGTAAATATACTTTTACATAGAAATAAAGTATGGGAAAATACACAATTTTTACTGTGATGCATAAAATAAAATACAATGTATGTTCTATACGGATAATTGTAGAACTTTTACCAATACTTCTAAGTTGAAACCGAATACTATCAATTTATAAGCTTTTGCTGTTAATTATATGATATGATTAAACAAAAATATTTTCTTCCCAAGGAAATTCTCAATTTTTTTATATGTCATGGCTTCCAAAGATTTAAGTATAGTGAAAAACTGAGTGTGTGCTTCAAACATTCAAAAATATATCTTCAAGAGGAGAAATAAATAAGATTTTGAAAAATACTTTATTTTTCTTCTTTATACTTGAAAATGAGACAGTTCATTTTTCACAAAAACAGTTGGCAGCCCCACTCGTGTGGGAATCGAACCCTAAGGTTGCCTGGAAGAAATTGCTACCTTAGCAAACAGGCCGCCTATATACAGCGTGTCGTTACCATCGCGACAATAAATGAACACACATATATGGGGATAACTTTTTAAAGTTGTATTAAACATTTAAATTCTTAAAACATCAATATTTACAGAGTTATTAAATTTTTCAAAACAAAGAATTTTAGAACATCTTTACCTATAAAAGCGTAACGTAAAGTTCATTTGTAAAGGTCACAAAGCATATGAATGGGTTGAATGAATTTAAAAGAGACAAAACATACTGTTAGGAGAGGCTTGTAATATGACGCTGTGCGCGAGTTGTATAGGGTGTTACAAATTTTGTTTCTTTTTTACTTAATTAGTTTGTTTGAAAAATATTTTTTTTTTAATTATGGATTTTGTTTAACGTTAATATTTTTTTATGATTATTGGCAAGTAGCGATAGACGTGTGTTCATTTATTGTTGCGATGGTAACGACACGTTGTATACACTGTTCCCTGTATTTTATATCTATGTATTACCATGTGTGCATTAAAGTATAGTCTATTCTAAACAGTGCGTGTTGTGTGATGTAAGAAGAAAGACATAGTGCGGTTCTCCGTCAGACCTGGCCGCCTCGAGTTCCTCTTCCTCTTTCCCCTTCGCTGATTGCTCCTTTTGCACCCTCCCGTTCGTGTTCTCTTCTTCAGCGCGCCTCCCGCTGACGGTGCCGTCGATGACTGCACTCGTCTTCAACTTCTTTGGCAGTTCCACACTCGCTGAAAGAATCAAGCGTTCAAATCTATACACGTTGTTTCTTCAAATCTATACACGCCATGTTTGTTCTATTCGAGAATCTGGCAAGTCAGCTGGCGGCTCACCTGATGTTAACTGATAACCGACGCCTGTTGACATTTGCAACTCCCGTTTGGTTGTAGACGCGTTGACGACTTTTAATAAAATGGGCTGCGGATACCTCGCTCACCCGACGAAACGCAGACGTGTGACAATTCTAGTTTACACCGGTCTTCTGTGAGGTCGTGGTACCTATCCAGACGGACCTGCCCATTCGTGCAACAGCAAAACTGTTGCAGGGCTCTACCACTATATTCGATACATTCTGACAGTATCATCATTATTGTCTCGAGCCCACTGCTGCCATAGGCCTACCTCGCAAACTGCCACAAGGCAGATCCTGAGCCACGTGCATCCATTGACTTCCTGCACACATCCACAGGTCGTCACGCCATCTAGTGGGAGGTCGGGTTTAATTGTGTCATCTGCCTAACCCTAAACCTCCACTCCCCCTAGATCCAAATATGGATGATAATGGAACTATGCCTTATACTAACTGTATACTGTATCCTAATTTATATGCTTCTATAACGTGCTATATTTAGCTCAGCTATAGTTATATATAATAGCTGAAAATTGATGTATAAAAAATTAAAAACTAACGTAATTTTCTCTTGACTGTCAGATTAAGTTTGATCTTCTCTTGACCATCCTGCCTTGTGAATTCTGTGTAGACTGGCCCCTGTTTATCCTCCTCTTTCTTCCCCTTCTCCACTTGCTTCTCTATGAACGCCAGCATACGCTCCTTAAACATTCAAAGTTGAAAACATGAACATACAGAATCATCAATTAATCTTTCGCATTCGTCTTTCTCAATCGTAGTAGTTTTGAAATGCCACAGAAGCCTAGTAGGTTAATCAATACACAATCAAAAATTTCTTATTGTCTCTGTAATAATGTTTTTCCAATAACTATGTAGAACATAACTTTATAGAATGTCCAAATGTTACTAGTTTTTATATAATATTAGCACACAAAATCTTGTGATGGCTTATTCCTTAATACTTTTACGATTTACGAAAATAAAGGGGAAGAAATTACTTTCTAAAATTCTTAGGTCACATCTTGCACTGCAACAATGGGCTCATATAACACCAATTTGACAGGACAAAGTAGAAAGCACCAGACTTCATTGTCCTACAAACGTAGATTGTTTGTAGGACTATGAAGCTACAAATAAGCTCCTCAGCAAGTGGTCACCTGCCTGAATGTATCGGACTGATTGTCAGCAAAGCATGTGGCATGATATATCCCATGAATCATCATATCTCATAAATTCATAAGAACCTAAACCGCCTGCTAAATTCGAAAGAGGTGCAGAGTCTCTATGAGCAAGTCTGTCTTGGCCTCTTCCGTAATGTGTGCAAAGGAGTGGAACAGTTTGCCGGAATCATCTTACCTGTCCCATTATAATGTGAGGGTCATCAAGGCAAGAGTGAATAGATTCTTACTGAGCTAGTGTGTTTAAAATTACATGTTACTTACCATCAGGTGAGATATTACTCGAGCACTGACTAGTTTCTGGGGAAATAAAGGGGCAGAAATATTAACTGAGAAGACGGGAAGTACTGTCTACTGGGCTGACTGCTACCCAAAACCTTGCACAAAAAATATAACACAATAAAAAATTATACACTACAATAATAAATACTACAACTACAGTAAGGACCTTACCTGATCATCTTTATCCATCTTCTGCTTTTTAGCCTTTGCCTCCTGTGCGGCGATGGTCGCTGGATCTCTGTCTATGTATGTCACAAACCAACCCTTCTCCGTCTCGTCCACAACGCACTTTCCCTCTCTACCCAACCACTTCACAAAGTCGGTGAGGGTCTCCCATTGTGTTGCGTTCATATGAAGGTGGTCCCTACAAGGAGAATTACACACTACTATGATGAACATACTTTTCTTATTGTAAAAACAAAATGCCTGAGGCTAATATACATTCATTTTGGTAACACAATAAGTGAGGGTTGTTTAAATAGTATCATTACCAATGCATATTAATTTATGAAGATATGGATAAGTTTTAGAAAGTAGAACTGTGTAAGAATTAGAGTAATAACAAAATATGTATCCTCGGCTTTTAACCTAACCATGCAACCCCACTGCAGTCTTCACATATCTTGAAAATAAGCAGATTTCCTCACCATGTTTTTCTTCACCGCTGAGCATTACCGCTGAGCATGTGATAAGTCAGCACTTAAAATTAACAATTTCATTGATTTCCAACACTAAATGAAATTTGATGAAAAATTTGAACCCAGGTTGCTTGATTATATTATAATAAAATAATAATAAAATGGTTTATTTAATATCAAAACTAAAATATTTAAGTTTAAAGATAAATAATTTTTGAAAAAGACTTTAAAACATGCTTAGTTGTAATAAACATGTATATTAAAGCAAGCTCCTGGACACAGCTATCACTGTTTATTGTCTGTGCTATTGTCTAGTGCAGAACTATTACTTACAAATAGCAGAAGCCTATGCCTAAGATGTTGAAGAATCTTCAGATACCATAAAAAAAGCTGCAGTTAGCAACATAATATCTTCATGCAATATGTAAGATTCTTTCCTTTATACTTTTACTTAAAAAAGACTTCCATCATCAAAATCCTTAAAAGTCATAATTTTTAAGTAAAAATTGTCTGCAACAATTATGGTTTTGATTATATTTCTCTATCAATTACAAGTATTTGTGTATGCAAAATAAGTGTGCCACTTTTGTAAACAATTACCCAATTAAAATTGAATTACTATTTTTGTCCTGTGTGGGGATTAAACCCATAGTGTGACCTGTGAAGATGTTACTAATAAGTTGACAAAGTAATAATAATATCTAACTAGCATGTCAAAAAGTAACTAATTTTAAACTAAGAGAATTGTTTACATATTTGGGTGTGGAATTTAGTACTCATGCACAGCCTGTACCAGAGAGCCCGTGGTAGATATTAACGTTCATTAGAGCTGGGAACGAGCCTTAAACGAGCAAAAAATTTACAGCAAGCGGTCACAGCAAGCGAAATTGATGCAATAAACGCGTTTACCTATTGGATATGTAGTCCTGGTAAACTTTGTTGGCGTTCACGCGCTTCGTGCCGAACTGGCGGCTTAGCAGCTCCAAGTATCCATCCGCAAACTCCTTGGAGAACTGGTCTATGTACTTCGAAGCGTTGTCGGCAAAAAGCAGCAGCTGCCGCTGGTGGGACTCCGACATCGTGTGGCATTTGAATCCGTTCTCGTCGCGGCACTGCTTTTGGCACATCTGGCAGTACCACCGCAGCTTTTGCAGGCCCTTCGCTTTAATTTTGTTCGCTATGTACTTCGGCGTGCCCTTCTCCGCTTTGCCGCCCATTTTTATAGTTTTGTGAATGCAGAGCTGTGATTCTGTTTAGTGAACTATAATATAATTTATGTTTTAAAACACCAACGTATCGAAACACAATATCACGTAAATAATTTTTGGTTTGTTGATCTGTTGCTGGATATACACATATCATGAAACATTTGACATTTTGACATTTGTGACCAGCTACAGTTTGTGTACAAATCACAGCACATACCACATACAGAATTACAGATACAAAATCACAGAAATTAGACATACAGGTTTAATACAATTTATTAACAATTACCATAGATTATTTAAAAGGGAATATCAATATACTAGGTATAATCTAAATATCTACATCATTTGTTTTATTACTAAGATATTTGTCTGTGATAAGTAGCTTGTTATGTTTTAGTAAATTACCTCAAACGCCCAGGAAACTACCACGACTTCACAGAATACTGGCGTGAAGTGGAAATATTACGCTTCTGCGTTTAGTCTGGTGAGTGAGGTAACTAGGGCCCACTCTATTAAAATGTGAAAACGCATCTTCAACCCTACGGGTATTACAAATGTCCATGGATGGCAGTTACCACTTGACATCTGTTGAACCTAAGCTCGCTTGCCACCTTTTCACATAAAAAGGGCAAAAACTACAGTGTTGTATGAGCTGATTGCTAAGATATGTATGAGGGGGTGCTCTCTTGTCCATTATTCGCACGGCAATCCTTATAAATCCGGATAATAGACAGAAGAGAAGAACATTTATAAAAATAAATGTTTATACAGCGTGTCGTTACAACCGCAACAATAAATGAACACACATCTCACGCTACTTGCCATAAATCATAAAAAATATAAAACGTTAAAAAAATTCATAATTAAAAAAATATATTTTTCAAACAAACTAATTAAATCAAAAAGAAACAACATTTGTAACATCCTATACGACTACAACTGTCTGAATAGTACATTCAGAGACTTTTTCATTCGTTGCCACAACGTCGTATTTCAAGTATCTCCTTCTAACAGTATGTTTTATCTCTTTTAAATTCATTCAACCCATTCATATGCTTTGTGAACTTTACAAACGTTACAGTTTTATACAAATTTTATACAGGTGTTCTAAAAATGTTTGGTTTGTTAAAATTTAATAACACGGTAAATATTGATGTTTAAACAATGTAAATGCTTAATACAATTTTAAAAAGTTATCCTCTATATGTGTGTTTATTTATTGTCGCGGTTGTAACGACACGCTGTATATTTAGAAATTATAGTTTGAGATATTATATTTAAATATTAAAAAATCATTGTCTATACAACAGTACCTGGAGGTTTGTTTTTTTTTTTTTTGGTAAATCGTGTATTTTGGAAATTACATTTAGATACAAATTACTGAGTAATGAAATATGCATAATATTTTTCGATCTTACCTATGTAATAATAAGAAAATATGAACTGGTGTTTTTCACACAAGAAAGAACTTTAGAAAAAAAGGCAAAAAAAATAACAAAATTATGTGTATCGACAAAAAATAAAAATTAAAGAAAGTAATGATCTGGAATCGAAAAAAAGTAAAAAAAATAAATGTGTAAATGATCGTGACACGGAACCGAAACAGAAGGCCGGGGGGCCTTCTATTTCGGGGCCTCCCGATTACCGACCGAGCTATTATACCATTTTTTTCGGTGTTATTTACCGTCGTATTCGAATGATATTTTTCATTTCCTGAAAACTGAGATAAAACGTCATTTTCTAAAAATGAAACCTAGCCAGATCGATTTTTCGCCCCCGAATTTACGCACATACTTACACATTTAGTTTCATGAAAATCGCTGGAGCCGTTTCCGAAATTACAATTATATGTATATATATATACACAAGAATTGCTCGTTTACAGGTATAAGATTATACCAATTATATTTTGTTATTTGTTTACTTAAGTTTTTACTTTTTACTATGACAGTAATGACATGGACATGACAGATGACGCGTGCATTTCTCCAATTATTATGTGATAGAAAATTGATTAAGTTTTATTGTTTGTCTCTTTTGGAATTTATATTTTTATTTTTGTCTTAAAATGGATGTTCTCTGGTCGAAGGATAGATTACATAAAATATTCAGCACAGTAAGTGGGATATTGAACTATAAACACAACTTATAATAATTTAATGTAACACTTTTAGCTGTTCTTTAAAATCGGATTTATTATGTACAATTAAAATTGAACAATATAGTGATTTGATGTGGTAAACGGTGAACTTTAATGAGCAAGTTATCCATTTATTAAAAATTTACAATACGAATCTATTATTCGACGGAAACTAAAAAATGCGGGTCGCATTTGCGGCACGAATAGTTTTAGATCGGGGCTCGACTTGTACTTAAGGTTGCTAGCGTAGTATAATATTAACTTATTGTACTGTATTGCATACTATATACTGATGAAAAATATTAATACTTAGTACGATAAAACACCGTGATAGCTATGTCCGGGCGTTTGCCTTTAATATACTCGAGCAACCTGAGATCGTTCCCCGGTGGCCGTGCACGTCCATGCACGTGCCCCCTAAGCACGAGGAGAACATCGCGAGGAAAGCTGCATATTTTCTAAATAATAATAAAGGAAACAAACGTTTCGAAGATATGTGAAATCCCTCAATCCGAGGGCCGCATGGTGGACTCTGCCCTAATACCCTATATACAGCGTGTCTTTACAATCGCGACAATAAATGAACACACATATAGGGGATAACTTTTTAAAATTTTATTAAACATTTACATTCTTTAAACATCAATATTTACAGAGTTATTAAATTTTCCAAAACAAAGAAGTTTAAATTATACGCTGTATAGAGGGTTTCGCCCAGAAGTGGGATATATATGTATATATGGAATACAGAATGTTAATTTACTTGACTTGACTTAAAAAAATCTATTTTAAGTTGTATTTATTATGTTGCAAAACCTTAAACGAATAGCCAATAAATTCCACACTTTTAAAAGAAGTTTTACAAAACCGTAATTTATAAAAAAAACAATGAGAAAGAAATAAGTATATCATTGTGTATTTTTTATTTTATGAAAAAAAATAAGTAAGTTATAAGTTAAAGTGAACAAACACCTCAACTTCCTGCCAAACTTCGAAAGCGGTCTGCCTATAAAACATATATGAATCATCTGTGTACATTTTCGAAAGCCTTCTACGATACTATCGATAGTATCCTACGGCCCACCACTACAAGGTACTGAATGAAGTACGTAATAGTAGTACTTACGCGGCGCGTCGACGAAACTTGTGTGGTACGCCTGCACCAAGCGCTTAGCGGGGTTACCCACGCAAATAGTTCATATTTTTTTTTAAATCACCGTTAGTTTAGGATAACATTATTCAGTGTTGTAAGGATGTTTTACAAACATAAATTTCACGCGGACAAATATCCGGATGCGAAACAACTATGTGTGGGTCACACAAATAGCTGTCCCGTGTGGCAATCGAACCCACGACCCTTGACGCCGAAGACGCCTTCCAATACATAGGCAAAGCCGCGGAGTCATCAAGTTAAAAACTCACTGCATACCACCGAGTTAAGCCGTGGCTTCTTGACCAGGGCCAGATTTAGAGTTCTGGAGGCTTCGGGGCAACAACGCAGTGGAGGCAGGCCCCTTGGCCCCAAATTATTTTCTATTGATTTAAGTTAATATTTAATGTAATAATGTTTGTACAAAGTGCTGTGGGTAAAAGTAAAACGCGAAAAAAAAATATGAAAGGAAAAGTTGTTTACTATTGTTCACTAGTCTGAATTTGATTTTTTTTCCGAAGTCTCCATTGTGGAGGCCCCGGGGCTGTTGCCCCGGTTTCCCTCCCCTAAATCCGGCCCTGTTAGTGACAGGCAGTAATGATGACGATCTTAGAACCGAAGCCCGGTCCTCTCAACGCAGGACTCTCTGATGGTCCACGCGAACGCGACCGGCGACTGCGGCGCGCCCTCTATCCTCGCCTGCTACCTGTGCGGGGGCGACGGCAGCTTGCGCCGCCTCGGGGGCACGTACACTTGCAACGGCATCGAGGAGAAGTACGACAGGATGCTGCAGGAGAGCTTCGGGGTCGAGGTACGAGCGCTCGCAAGTTTGTCTATCTCACAAGCGTTTGAGCTATTGTTTGCGAGCACCGGTTCTCTTGCAATACAGAATAGTTTAGCATCAGTTTTACGGTGGTAGGGCCACGCAGCAGCCTCGGTTGCTGCACGAATGGGCAGGCCCGTCCGAGTAATACCACGACCTCACAGAAGACCAGCGTAAAGTGGAAGTATGACAAATACTTTCGCGTTTCGTCTGGTAGCCGGAGCCCAATTTTGAAAAGGTTGTCAACGCATCTGTAACATCCGGTGTGACAGATGTCCATGGGTGGCGGTATTCACTTACCATCAGGTGAACCGTCTGCTCGTTTGGCAACTTTTCACACAAAAAAATCATAATAGAGTTACGGCAATGTTTCAATACTTTTTTATACCAAAGCTCGATGATTACAATCATCATCATCCCTACAAGCCTCGCGCACATGTTTTGGTGGCCGTTGATAATTTTTACTTTGGAATTGAACTTTGTCTGGCAACAGAAATAATGTTAAAAAAAAACTTGATGACGAACCAGCCAGTAAACACTTGATGGTACGGGGCCAACGACTTCATGGAAACTATCCACAGAACGGTCAACGTTGGAACCTCGGTACTTTTGCATACAAATGGTATTGTCACTGGCCAAAATCATAAAGATTCCTACTCCCTTTCCTCCGGTCTGTATGATTCGCGGTAACAACAGACTTCAAAAAAGAGGAGTTTATCAATTCGTTTGCATTTTAATGTTTTTTTGAAAGACAAATGTTCAACGACATAAAACCGCAACTTGTTAATGAGATAGCATGAAATATATGCGCCATGAGTTTAATATTATCTTTGTAACATTTATTATTACAACTTTATTAGAGTGGGCACCGACTACTACAGATAACAACAGATGCTTGTAGTCATGCAGAGGCCCTGTAGCCTACCATAGTCAACTGTTGATCTACAGTCTTTATTGTGACGTCACTTTCTGTGTTCTATAATTATGTTTGCCTTCTTTTATTCGTGATAGCTCAGTGTCCGGGCGCTTGCTTTCAGTTCAATATACTTACTCGATATATCTGAGTCCATATCCCCGTACTGGCACCAACAAAATTTTTAATTTTTAAGTGCCGACTTATCACGTGCTCTGCGCTGTAGGAAAACATCGCGAGTAAACCTATATATTTTCGAAATAATTACAAAAAACTATTTGAAATAAACAATAAGTAATCATTAAAATATGTAGAAAAAGTGCGAAAAGATTGTCGCCGCTGTGGGAAGCCACTGAGCCGTTTAGCTCAGTGGCTAGAGCGTCAGGCCGCGAATGCCGAAGACGTGGGTTCGATTCCCACAGCGGCGACAATCTTTTCGCACTTTTTCTACATATTTTAATGTTCAATCTTAAGTGCAAAGATTAGCACTATAAACAATTTAAATTTCTAATAAGTAATCAATAAACATTTTAGGACACATTTTTACTCAACATTTTCCAGTCCCAAACTAAGCAAAGCTAGTACTATGGGTACTAGAAAACTGATGACCATACTTTTCTTTTGTAAATAAATACATATTATAAAACATATATAAATACCCAGACACTGGAAAAACACAATGTTCATCACACAATATTTTTCCAGTAGTGGGGATTGAACCCCCACACCCTCTGGCGCAGGAGGCAGGTACACTACCTACTACACCATTCGGGTCGCCAATGTGAAATCATCCAATCCGCATTGGGGTCACTTGGTGGACTCTGCCCTAATACCCTATATTCAGGAGGCCTTTGCCCAGCAGGACATATTGACATATTTGTTATATGGTGTTACTTATTTTTTTTTGAGGTGTCACGGTTGGATTGCATGATATGCGACCACTGCATACATCAACTGCGCAACGCTCACAGATTCCGAAATTTAGTCAAAGCCGCCTTCGTTAAATCAACGAGTGAAAGTAAGTGGTTGATTTCAATATAAAAAAATATATTATGAAAGAAAAACAAGCAAAAGTATTGTGCATATAAATAATTTAACAAACCATCGAAACTTCTTAACGAAAAGAGTCAAAATCTTCATTTAAGCTTAAGATAAACTATAAAGTGTAGAGTAGTTATACGTGTTTATGGCACTTTAACACTGCAATAAACTCCCCATCTCTCTGTAGCTGTATCACAATATTAGTTTATGAATGGAAAATCCAATGTTAGAATATCTCTGTAGCCATCGTGAACGGAAATAAATCCTGTATTTCGTAAGTTGTTATGATCTGTATAAGTTACGAGGGGTAAAAACCCCGTAAAAAAAATAATAAAAAAAAAGAAATAAATCCATACATATCATTACTACAGTTGCCTCCGTATTATAATACCAATTTCCAAACGTATGCTGTCGTTCGTTGCAGTGTAAACTGATCGTGCCAACAAAATTGTATTTAAAAAATAGTTTTTGCCCAGTTGACTCCGTGACGCATTTGCCAAGGTATCGGCTTCGGCGTCGGGGGTCGTAGGTTCGATCCCCACACGGGACGACTATTCGTGTGAGCCACAGATAGTTGTTCCGCATCTGGGCGTTTGTCCGCATGGAGTTTATGTTTGTAACACGTCCTTACAACATAGGATGATGTTATTCTAAAGGGCAATGTTTTAAAAAATTACGCAACACCCGTAGGATTGCTGATGCGTCACCTTTAAATAAAGCGGGCCTCGGCTACCTCACTTACCAGACGAAACGGAATAGTGTAACACTTCCACATCACGCCGGTCTTCTGTGAGGTCGTGGTACTTACCCGGACGGACCTGCCCATTCGTGCAACAGAAGACTTGCGTGGCCTTAGCACTCTTGATGATAGAGTGACGAGAGGGCCCAGTGACAAACAAGCGTGAACATAATTATGAGTTTAATTTTTTTACATTTAACTTAAGTGAAATATACTGCAGTAAATTCTTTCAAACAATCCAAATGTTATCCTAAAGTAAGGGCAACGTTTAAAAAAAAGAAAAAAAAAGACTGAGTACCGCTATTTATTATAATAATATGATGTATATAATAACAGGACCGCTCAGCAACAGCACGAGAACGAAGCCCGACAGGAGCCTGTCGAAGCCGGACTTTGGGGGGTCCTACATGAAAAAGGCGGAGGCGCCGAAGCACCTCAAGCAGAAGGCGACCATAGACAACCTTCAGAGGCGCTGCGAATTGAGGCGCGAACGGAAGCGGCTGTCAAACATGCACGTCGAGACAAAAAAGGCAAACGTCGCGTGCACAGTATGCAACCAGCGCTACCCGATGATAGTCCCATTCGACGGAATAAAGAAGTTCGTTTGCTCGCGTTGCAAGAAGAACGCGGAGACGTACGGCGCATGCAAGAAGTGCAACCTGCGGCTGCCGCTCGGCTCGATGCAGGAGCACCTGAAGACGCACGCGCGGGCAAAGCCGAAGTGTAAAAGCAGGTGCGGCTAATAATTGCTTCTTAACCGACTTCAAAAAAGGAGGAGGTTTCTCAATTCGACCATATATATTTTTATTTTTTTTATGTGTGTTCGGGGATAACTTCGTCATTTGTGAACCGATTTTAATGACTCTTTTTTTTGTTGGAAAGGAGATATCCTAAGGGTGGTGCCATGATAAGGAAATCCAGATCTGATGATGGCGTCCCAGAGAAATCGAGGGCAATACTCAAATGTTATAGGGGTTGACAATGTCCTTTTTTTAGTTTTCTGTTTGAAGTCGGTTTTTTTTTGTTCAAAATTATTATTATTATTACTTTGTAAACGCAAATGGAAGTAATCAGGTGAGGCAGGTTAGATGTTTTTTTTTAGTCAGTTTGGGTTTGTTTGTTCGACTTCGTGCATATTACTGAAAACATTATCCTCCATTTTGTTAAGCTGTTGAACGAATTGGCTTAAGTACCACTACCTCACAGAAGACCGGCGTCAAGTAGAAGTGTTACACTTCTGCGTTTCGTCTGGTGAGTCCTCACTCACCAGACGAAACCGGGTAGCCGGGGCACACTTCATTAAGAAGTGGCAATGCATCTGCAACCCTAAGGGTGTTGCAAATGTCCATGTGCCGGCGGTTATCACTTAACATCAGGTGAACACACAGGTTGTATGACGTGGTTTGACGTTTTTGCTGACCACGTGAATATTTTACGGTTCGACAATCTACTACGAGTTAACAGGGACTTTGCGCGACTGTTAATGTATTATGTAAGTACTACGACCTCACAGAAGACCAGCGTAAGGTGGAAGTAATAAATACTTTCGTGTTTCGTCTGGTGTGTGAGGTGGCCGGAGCCAAATTTTCAAAAGGTTGGCAACGCACCTGCAACCCTCGGGTGTAGCAGATGTCCATGGGCGGCGGTATTCCCTTAAAATCAGGCGAGCCGTCTGCTCGCTTGACAAACTCTTCCATTAAGAAGGCAGCCTTTCAGTTACAGTATTGTTTAAGTACTTATAAGGCAGGTCATTAAATGTCTTGCTTTTTTATTGCATTTCTTCATTGATATATATACATACCTCATAGTGAAGGAAATGCTGCCTAGGGTTTTGATTGCCATAACTAGCTTAGCGTTAACTATCGACCGCTCGTTGTTCACACAGCATTACATTTGTGGGACAAGGCCACATGAGGCATTTTCAATATGGATGCCGAACAAATATGACATAGGTAACAGTTGGTCCAATGAAAACACGCCGAACGATGTTCAAACGCGCAAAATAAATCCTATCGTTAACCATTTATCGCGGCTAGACAATACAACATCGCTTGTCATTCCGCCGCAGATTGCCCACCGGGCCGAGGGCGCTGCCGTCGCAGTCGAAAACGGAGAACCTGTCCAGGACGCAGACCTACGTGAAGTACCCGAAGAGATACCACTGCAGCAAATGCGACAAGAGGTACCTCGTGCCGCAACACCTAGCCCACCACATCAGCACGGCGCACGGCGACGCGCTGGACTGCACTTGCACAGTCTGCGGCAAGGACATGAAAACTCGCGACAAACTCGACCACCACATGCACTCTCACACCGGCCAGCATATATACCAGTGTCACGTTTGCATGAAAGTATTCAAGAGCCAACGCAACCTGCAGGCCCACTATATGACTCACGCAAAATAAAAACTTGTCTATGGTCAACGTTAACTTGGACTACATATATTAGAAACTATGGAGTGTAGAGTGAAAGGAGTATTATCATGAAGTATAAAAAGTGTCTACAGTATTCTATAGATTTGGTATATATATATAGATGGCGTTATTATAGCATAAGTTCTTCATTTCAAAGAAAGTGCCAAATGCAATAAGCAATTGATCCTTCAGGTCTTACTTTTATGCAACATTAGCGCCATTCTGGTTATTTATTGGAGACACTTTTCCAGTTATTATTCATTGAGGTACTACTCCTTATCTCTACATTCTACCACAACGTAAACGGGACAGATTAAAAATTAATTCGTCGTCAGCATCGCAATCAAACTATTTAACGTTCATCGGTACTTTGAAACGATGAAATGTTATAATTTCTTATATACTATCCCGTTAATATATAATCACCGTTTGCATAAAGATATATGGATTGAAAAGATCGACATATTTGTAAAACGCTAACGACAAAATTTTTAAAATTGGTGTACTTTTAAAATAAAAGTAGTGACTAATACGAAATAAAAGTACTAACTTGTACATAACGAAGATATCGTTTACGTTAAATATAAGACAGTGTTCCGTGGTTGTCGATTGTAAATGGTATATTTAACATTAAAATTTTATAAAGTATGATACATGCAACGGTAATTTTTATGGTCGAGTTGTAGGGAACATGTAAATTTTTTGTATTGTTTTATGCCGGGCGATATTTTGATACATCAATAAAAAAAAAATTTGCAATAAAATATTTTAATTTCAACGTAACAGGTCATACATATGTTTTAGGCAACTAGTAAAATCCTGGCAACAAAGCAGTACTACCTACGTAAAAGAATATAGGACGTCATTTTGGATAACTGAACATGATTATGGAACTTTTAAAACAAACAAACGGACCGCTTGTTCAATTGCCATCCACTTGAAATAAAAATAAATATTTTATCTATGTTTCATTCATAAATCAAGAATGGAAATATCCGTAAGATTACGTGAAAGGAATTTTGTTCAGAGCAGTGTTTTAAAACAGTTATGCAGTGGGCACGGAAAACATTATAAAATTGGGTTAGTTACAAGCAGGGGAATAATCCGGTACACGATAGATTGCGGTTGAGGGACATCTGCAATACGGTTTTGCAGATTTATTTTTAAATTTGTTTACAACATAATCAACAGCCTCTTATTACATTATAGTTACATCTTGTGTTCTTAACCAACAGCCAAAAACGGATTTACATTAATTAATTAGTGTTATAACGGAAAACTATCCGAGGGTCGACATTCGGTAAGTGTTTTGTGCATTGTTCGCCCATGGACATTTGCAACACCCGTAGGGTTGCAGATGGCGCCACGGCCACCCTACCCACACCTGCTTCACGCCGGTCTTCTGTGAGGTCGTGGTACCTACCCGGACGGACCTGGCAATTCTTGCAACAGTGAACACTATTACGTTTTAAAACATGTAGAAAAAGTACGAAAAGATTGTCGCCGCTGTGGGAATCGAACCCACGTCTTCGGCATTCGCGGTCTGACGCTCTAGCCACTGAGCTAAACGGCTGATAGCCACAGAGACGAAAATCTTAACGCCTTCTTTCTACATTGTTATTTAGCATTTGAAGCAATCCTTGGCGCATCTATTGTTATATCCTTTCCAGATTACAAACAATTTCGAATATCTTTTTACAACGATAATTCGAACGAGAGATGTCGCCATTGCTTTTTATAAATTTTATTGACTATTACGTTTTTTTTATGTGAAAGGTTGCCAAGCGTTAAGTGTAAACCGCTACCCATGGACATCTGCTACACCCGCGGGTTGCAGAGCGTTGACAACCTTTTGAAAATTGGGCTCCGGCTACCTCACGCGCCAGACGAAACGCGAAAGTATTATATTTCCACTTGACGCCGGTCTTCTGTGAGGTCGTGGTACTTACCCGGCCGAGCCTGCCCATTCGTGCAACAGCCGAGGCTGCTGCGTGGTTCTTCCACGTGGCCATACCGCAGGAATAGAGAAATGAAAAGTCCGAAACGATCAGATCGCTTTATTAAACGCCGCTCCACGATTAGGCCTAGACAAACTTGGCGCACGTCTTCCTTAGCGGCGGCGGCGCTATCCTCAGCGCGGCCACCGAGCTCTTGGTGGTGGAGAGCTCCCTCCTCAGTCGCACAATGTCGTTCTCAGCCTGCCTCTTACGCTGGAAACGCACTGGCGGATTTTGTTACGCGATAGGGGGCGTGCGCGCGCCCCCCCTATTGTCTATGGTCAGACACGCACGTCCTTTTAGTGGAATAGACAAAACTGGCGGGAAACGGCGGTTGTATATTTGTCTGTGTCTTGATTTTCGACATGCAGATTTGCTCTCGAAAAAACAGTTTATGAGGATTGCAACTACTACACGGGACATTGACATTAATAAATTGTGTTACGTACATTTTTTATTTAAAAAATACGGAACTTCATATACGAGATCCATATTTGTATGTCAATGTCAATGACAGGTATTTCCAGTAACCAAATCTACAGATAGATAGAATATTGAAAGTTGCCCCTAAAATTAAAAACATTAACTAGCGACGAAGCATTTATCATCAATCAATGGCATTAAGTCCGCCTCTGTACATATTTGGTGTGCATAAAGTATAAATAAATAAATAAATAAATCATCGTTAATGTGAAATGTGACTGGGATTCGATTATGTGAATTCGAGTTGAGAAAGTGATCCTGTAGAAAGGTAGACAGTAGATATAGTGCAAGGGACGTATGGTCATACATTGGCATGTTATGGAATATATTTTTGTAGAAAAATGGACGAAAAGATAATCGCCGCTGTGGGATTCGAACCCACATCTTCCGGATTCACGGCCACACGCTTTAACCACTAAGCTAAAGAAAGAGAAGTTCAAGTTTGTGTAAGATTTGAGTAAGGGGCCAAGTTGTGTTTTTCAAAAGAAATATAGCCAAAAGTTAATATCATTTAACCATTTTAATAGCAAAGCTGTCATTTCTAGTTTTAAAATATTCATTCATGTTTCATTGTAAAGTGTTATAAAAAAGTGGTCGTTTGCTGTAAAGGAAACACTAGATTACGTCAAACATGGCTTAAAATGTAATTAAATACGAAGTAGGTAATACGTTGACATTTTCGTCGGTGTGAATATAATAAACGTCGGGCGCGTATCCCGGAGAACTTAGGTTCAAATCCTCGAAGTGGCGGAAAACTTTTCGTCAATTATTCTTCAAATTTTAAATTTTACGTAAAGCGCAAAGAATAGCACTATAAAAATTGTTATCATTTGAAATACCTCCAGTTTAGTAGAGGGTTAGAACATCACGACGTTTTTTAGCTGTAGATGTCTGTCTGTCACTTAGATCTTTAAAACTACGCAACGGATCTCGATGCGGTTTTACTAGATAGCGCTTCAAGAGGAAGTTTTATATGTATGATACGTTGCACCCGTGCGAAGCCGGGACGGGTCGCTAGTTCTACGTGTTATATTCGGCGTCTGTATTCTTTACCTTCAGCTCGTTGGCCAGACGTGCCTCGACTTGTGCCACGCGCTGCCTCAGAGCCGCTATGTCCCTCATCAGCCTAGCCGCAGCCAACTTGTTGTCAGACTGCAATTGTTACAATGCACTGGTATTGGTACTGTGGTCCGTCCGTGTAAGTACCACGAACTAACAGAAGACCGGAGCAGTTTCCACATTATCAAAAGGTAACGCGTCTGCCACCCAACGGCTGTTGCAAATGTCAATGGGCGGTAATCACTTCTTATATTAAAAAAAGAACGGACCAACAAACAAAACGTGAGGTCTATGAATTTTTTCCGCCGAGTTTCTTTCGCCGGTTCTTGGATTTTTGTCCGCTGAGTTTCTTTCGCCGGTTCTTCTCAGGCAGTGGCTTTCCTTTCTGTTGAATCAATCTAACAGTATCGTGCTTCGTGGCTTGCCTGTGTTCAGCAGTGGACTCAAACAGGCTGAAATGATGATGATTCCTCACGTGATTAATTGACGGTTCGTTTGCTTACCGCTCTCGACGGGGCGTTCTTGGCGACATTCCGACTGACGATGCTCGGCAGCTCCGAAACGGAGCACGGCGTGAAGAGCTGTTCTGGTGGCATTTTGGTAACACCCTGTATAGCCTGCAAAGACGTCGACAGAACCTAAACAGCCTGTGAAGCCTTTCATGATCCCGGAGAAAGAGTCTGTCCCTGGAAAACCTTTCCCCGTCAATAGTGGAGCAGAGAGCAGATACACTCGTATAGTGTCAAGGAAACGTGGTAGGCCATGCAAAATGGGCAGTGACGTACTACGCCACATAGACGCCTCATAGAAAACCGACGTGAAGTAGAAGTGTTACACTTCTTCGTGTTCATCAGTGAGGTAGCCGGAACCCACTTTATTAAAAGGGGTTGTAAATGTCAATAGGCGGCCGTTATCACTTAACATCATTTTTAAGGTTCCGTACCCAAAGGGTAAAACGGGACCCTACTACTTAGACTCCGCTGTCTGTCTGTCTGTCCGTCTGTCACTAGGATGTATCTCATGAGCCGTGACAGTTAAACAGTTGAAGTTTTCACAGGTGATGCATTTCTGTTGCCGCTATAACAACAAATACTAAATAACAGAATAAAACCATATTTAAGTGGGGCTCCCGTATATTGATTTGATTTTTTTTGCTATTATCATAGATAATGGTACGGAACCCTCCGTGCGCGTTCCGACTCGCACTTGGCCGGGTTTTTTTTTAAATCACCTGGGCGACGGCGTTGCGCGCGTGCTGCACGTGGTGCGCCTCCTCCCTCTCCAGGTGCCTCTTGAGGTGTTCCAGCTCTCCCATAATCCCGCACCTCTCTTTCTCCAGCCGCTGGTTGGCCTGCTTGAGGGCCTGAAGTGGACACAACCCTCTCGCTGTTCGGAACTTCTTTCACTGGGGCAAGGCCACGCAGCAGCCTCGGCTGTTGCACGAATGGGCAGGCCCGTCCGGGTAAGTGCCACAACCTCACAGAGGACCGGCGTCAAGTGGAAGTGTTACACTTCTGCGTTTCGTCTGGAGTGTGAGGTGGCCGGAGCCCAATTTTCAAAAGGTTGTCAACACATCTGTAACCCTCGGGTGTTCATGGGCGGCGGTACTCACTTAACATCAGGTGAACCGCCTGCTCGCTTGGCAACTTGTCACATAAAAATAAAACACTACATAGTATAAAACATAATAATCACTATATCGTATAAAAGGAAATCGTCCCGCTGTCTGTCTGCCCCTATGTATGCTTGATCTTTAAAACTACGCAACGGATCTTGATGCCTTTTTATTAGATAGTGATTCAAGAGGTTTATATGTATAATACATTTCACCCGCGTGATGCCGGGGCGGGTCGCTAGTTATCAATGGAGTTAAAATTTGTAGAAAAATTGATGGCAAAGTTTTTCGCCGCTGTGGGAATCGAACCCACGTCTTCGGCATTCGCGGCCTGACGCTCTAGGCTCTAGCCACTGAGCTAAACGGCTGATAGCTACAGCGACGAAAATCTTAACGCCTTCTTTCTACATTGTTATTTAGCATTTGAAGCAATGCTTAGCGCATCTATTGTTATATCCTTTCCAGCATACAAACAATTTCGAATATCGTTTCACAAAGACAATTCGAATGAGAGATGTCACCAGTTCTTGTGTAGAAATTGAAGTTTTTTTATCGTGCTAATCTCTGCACTTAAGGTTAAACATTAACGAAAAATTTTTCGCCGCTTTGGGAATCGAACCTACGTGTTCGAGATACGCGCCGTGACGCTTTAGTCACTAAGCTAAACGGCTGATTGCCACACTATCTATCATCTCTACATAGTATAGAACAAAGTCGGCCCGCTGTCTATCTGTCCCTATGTATGCTTGATCTTTAAAACTACGCAACGGATCTTGATGCGGTTTTTTTTTAGATAGTGATTCAAGAAGGTTTATATGTATAATACATTTCACCCGCGTGAAGCCGGGGCGGGTCGCTAGTTATCAATGGAGTTAAAATTTGTAGAAAAATTGATGGCAAAGTTTTTCGCCGCTGTGGGAATCGAACCCACGTCTTCGGCATTCGCGGCCTGACGCTCTAGGCTCTAGCCACTGAGCTAAACGGCTGATAGCTACAGCGACGAAAATCTTAACGCCTTCTTTCTAATTGTTATTTAGCATTTGAAGCAATGCTTAGCGCATCTATTGTTATATCCTTTCCAGCATACAAACAATTTCGAATATCGTTTCACAAAGACAATTCGAATGAGAGATGTCACCAGTTCTTGTGTAGAAATTGAAGTTTTTATCGTGCTAATCTCTGCACTTAAGGTTAAACATTAACGAAAAATTTTTCGCCGCTTTGGGAATCGAACCTACGTGTTCGAGATACGCGCCGTGACGCTTTAGTCACTAAGCTAAACGGCTGATTGCCACACTATCTATCATCTCTACATAGTATAAAACAAAGTTGTCCTGCTGTCTGTCTGTCCCTATGTATGCTTAGATCTTTAGAACTAAGCAACGGATCTTGATGCGGTTTATTTATTAGATAGATTGATTCAAGGAAGGTTTATGTGTGTAATACTTTTCACCCGTGCGAAGCCGGGGCGGGTCGCTAGTTATAAACAAATCATCGAGGGGATGACCTTCATCTTGTCCTTCTTCTCGAGGTGACATTCCTCTATTCTCTTCTTGAGCTTCCTCTTTAGCTCGTCCAGCAGGCCGGAGAGTGTCGCCCGGTTGTTCTCCAGGTCAGCACGCTGTTGGACTATCTGGTTTATCGACGTCAACAGTTTTATCCCTGCAATAATAATAATAATAATAAATATTTTAGCACACATTCTTTTTACACAACGTTCTCTAGTCCCAAACTAAGCAACGCTTGTACTATGGGTACTAGATAACTGATAGACATATTTAAACATACCTTTTTTTTGGAAATAAATACACGTTATACATATATAAACACCCAGACACTAGAAGAACACTATGCTCATCACACAATATTTTTCCAGTAGTGGGGAACGAACCCACACCCTCTGGCGCAGAAGGCAGGTTCACTACCGACTACGCCATTTGGGTCGTCAAGTGTAGTAATAGCAATAGTATTCCTTTATTCTTAACAATACAAATTGTATTAAATGATTCGTGCAAAACATAAAATACAAGTAAAGTTGTTCACAATCAAAATTACGATTGTATAAAATCACAATAGAAATTATAAGTCTCATTATTATGAATAATATAAAAGCATAAAAATGTCACAAAAATAATAATAAAAAAATACTAATAACGGTTGGTCAAAAAAGGCAATGGTAACCATTTTAAAATGTAATGAGATTTTTTTTTAATAATTGAGGGTTATTTAATTGCATTATCCTCTAGAAACTCGTTGACACAACAATATTTTTTTTCCCGTTGAAACTTTTTTAAAGTATCTTAGAAGCCAGTCTTGTATAGCATAGTTTTTAAATCAATAGGTAATTTTAAAACATGTAGAAAACGTACGAAAAGATTGTCGCCGCTGGGGGAATCGAACCCACGTCTTCGGCATTAGTAAGGGTAGTAAGGATAGTAAGTTATATATAGCTAACAAAAAAAGATATCGTGTGAATTATGCAAAATATAACAATAAGTCAAGTAAGTAGGAAACCGATAACCGTTGGGGAAAAAAGGTTCTCGAGTGGCAGCCTCGTACTGGCCATCGCAGTGTGGGATGACCCCCCACTAGATGGAGTGACGACCTGTGCAAATGTGCGGGAAGTCGATGGATGCAGGTGGCTCAGGATCGTACTTCGTGGCAGTCTATGGGGGAGGCCAATGTTCAGCAGTGGACTCAAACAGGCTGAAATGATGATGATGATGAAGTAGGAAAAAGTTCTGCCATCTGCGAGCTATTCTAGTGTATAATAAAAAGACCGCGCGGGCGAAGCAACGTTTAACAGCTAGTGTTAAACAAACAGGGGCTTACTCTGCTCGTTAAGGCGAAACCTCTGCGCTGCCGGCTGAAAGTGACAAGCGTCTGGACTGGGGGCTCCCGAGTCATTTCCAGGGTTCCACTGGCGGCCGCAGCTGCCGCTCGACTCCGTGGACTCCTGCTGCATAAGCTGACACGGGGCACCCCGATATCCCGGCGCAAATGCCAGGACAAAGAAAGCCCATCAAGATACTGCCAAAAGTGCACAGGGGAAGTTCCGAATTTATTTAATTATCTAAGTCTTAAGGTCATCAAGAGCCGTGATAGCTCAGTGTCCGGGCGCTCGCCTTTACTTCAATATACTCGAGCAACCTGAGTTCGATCCCCGGTGCCGGCACCAGTGAAATTTTTAATTTCAAGTGCTGACTTATGACTTGTTCAGCGGTGAAGGAAAACATCATGAGGAAACCTGCATATTTTCGAAATAATAACAAAAAAAAATTATTTCGAAGATATGTGAAGTCCGCCAATAAGCAATGGGGCCGCGTGGTGGACTATGCCCTGATACCCTCTTTACAGAGGAGGCCTTTGCCCAGCAGTGGGACATGTACAGGCTGTTACTTTACTTTTTTAAGGTCAACCATGGGTGGACTTAATGGCTAACTGCTACCATTCAACCCTTGATATGGTGAAAAGCAGATCGCAGGTGCTAACCGAAAAAGAAAAAATAAAAAGAAAACAAATTTGCTTTGAATTCACTATTCATGGACAAAATATACACATAAATTGATATATAGGTACATGTATATTTTATTAGCAATAAACTATATATTTATAAAATATCTTTGTCATATTCTACATTAAGCAAAAACTTTGCACCCCTTTTTAAGACAATTGCGCCGACGGAGGAGTGTGAAATTTCACACAATTATAGTTTACATAGAGAACGAGTAGAAGAATAAACTTTATTCTGAATTTTTCATGCTTATACTGCGGTTAACAACTCACAAAGAAGCTTCGAGTGTTACACGATTGGGGCTGGTTCTATCATGGATGTCCCAGACTTATGTCCGGTTCCTATATCCGACGAACGGCCTATATTAACAAAACGAGGTGTTTTCCTTACGAACCGTTGCATTACCTACGGAAAGTGAGTTAGCGTTCCTTTAATCTACAAGTCGTTATGAAAGTTACGAAGCTACGTAACTAACGGCCGTTCGTTGAATATAGGAACCGGGCATTGCTGAAGTGTTATGTAACTGACCCGTCCTAAAAGATAGCAACGCCGCTGACTTACCACCGTCATTGCACAGTAGCCACGTTCTATTATTTAAATTATTAAAATTTATAAAACCACTTTCCTGGATTACATTTTCTTTTGTTTTGTTTTCTTTGCATCTATTTAATGTCAAACGTAATATTTGTCCACCAGAAATGGTAGAACATTAGAGACGATACAAGTGTTAAGACCTATATTGTTCCATGTCCTAATAAATAAACGTATCAATAAAATTATTAAAGCTTTCGTGAGACATTGTTAGCGTAATAATAAGACGGCAGAACTCACTGAACTCACCCTGATGAAGGGCCTCCGACGAGTCCGAAACTAGTCGGTACATACACCGGGCTTACGTGAGCTCAACCATCTTATTATTACGTAAATAAACGTATCATTCTTTCTTTATTTCTATTTAAAAAAAAACTCACCAGCGACTTGTAGCTAGGCAGCTCGTCGTTGGAGAACCTGACGCTGTGGCAGCGTGGCAGCTTGTGGACATTCTGGTTGAGCACTTTCAGAGCCATTCTCGATGACACCGACTGTTAAAATCCCGAAGTTTTCAATCCAGTATATAATAAAATAAAAATAAATAAAATAAAAATAGCCTTTATTTACTTACTACTTTTTAAGTATATATCTTATTAATAAAAATATTATAATTATAATATGCTAGAAGTAGTCGCCTCTGCGGCGTAGGCCTCTCCTAAACCTTTCCAAACATCTCTTTCCCGAGCTATTTGCAGCCAGTGGTTACCACACTTGTGGCTGAAAACGTCACTCCATCTTTTACCAGGGACAGGAAGAGGAGAAAAGGGCGACCTGGTACTACTGCATATAGTGCCGGATTAACCACGTAGCAAGAGTAGCAATTGCTACGGGCCCTCGCTCATTAAACTCGCTCATCTCTTCTTGATTCTTCTGAATTGATTCTTTACCGATTTGTACTTAAGAACCCACAGCCGATCAAGGGCTGTTTGAAAGAATTTACTGCAGTATATTTCACATCTGAGTTCGATCCCTGGTGCCAGCACCAATGAAATTTTTAACTTTAAGTGCTGACTTATCACGTGCTCCGCGGTGAAGGAAAACATCGTGAGGAAACCTGCATATTTTCGAAATAATAACAAAAAAATATATATTTCGAAAACATGTGAAGTCTGCCAATCCGCAGTGGGGCCGCGTGGTGGACTATGCCCTGATATCCTCTGTATGGAGGAGGCCTTTGCCCAGCAGTGGGACATGTATAGGCTGTTACTTTACTTTACTTTTATTTCACATAAGTTAAATGTAAACAAATTAAACTCATAACTATGTTCACGCTTGTTTGTCACTGGGCCCTCTCGTCACTCTATCATCAAGAGTGCTAAGGCCACGCAACAGTCTTTTGTTGCACGAATGGGCAGGTCCGTCCGGGTAAGTACCACGACCTCGCAGAAGACCGGCGTGATGTGGAAAGGTCACACTATTCCGTTTCGTCTGGTAAGTGAGGTAGCCGAGGCCCACTTTATTTAAAGGTGACGCATCAGCAAGCCTACGGGTGTTGCGTAATTTTTTAAAACATTGCCCTTTAGAATAACATCATCCTGTGTTGTAAGGACGTTTTTCAAACATAAATTTCACGCGGACAAACACCCAGATGCGAAACGATTATTTGTGGGTCACACCAATAGTTGTCCCGTGTGGGAATCGAACCCACGAACCTAAACGTCGAAGCCAATATCTAAGCAACTGCGCCACGGAGCCATCACTTAACATCAGGCTCCCGCCAGCTCCCCGCCACATTCTCACGTAAAAAAGTGAAACATAACACTTATAACGAAAATTTGTTTCATGATTAATAATAATTATTCACAAAAGAGTGTAATGATACTCACCCCAAGTGAACTTGCGGACTAGACGATGGCGATGCCTTTTCTACGCCAATTTCGCATTTCGGCTTTCGTACTATGGGCGACCGACGGTAAGCAATCGACGCATACGGTACGTCCCAAAATGTTGAAGTGAATAATGTCTTTTTTTTTAATGTGAAAAGTTGCCAAACGAGCAGACGGTTCACCTGGTGGTAAATGAATACCGCCGCTCATAGACATCTGCTACACCCGAGCGTTACAGATGCGTTGACAACCTTTTAAAAATTGGGCTCCGGCTACTTACCAGACGAAACGAAGATGTCGTTACGATATCATTCGTTTATGTAAAATTAGTTAACGCTGTCAAATAAAACCGTTTCACGAGGCTATGTCGCATTACAGTTATTACATTAGCTGTCTACAAACTACAATTAAAATGATGTACGCTTATCTGTCAAATATGATATTAAGAAGCTTCCCGCTTTTTGTTTTTGTTCCAAAATGTCGAAGTGATTAATGTCGTTACGATATCTTCCGTTTACGTAAAATTAGTTAGCGCTGTTAAATTAAACAGTTTCACGAGGCTATGTCGCATTACATTTATTGTATTAGCTACTAAAACATACATCTGTAACAAGCTTATTTTTATTTCAGTAAAACTTAACCTAAGTTACTGAAGTGTACTACGAACTTTAATAAGTGATAAAAAAAATTTTGCGACCCAAAAATTTTATGTATGATATTTAGAGGCGAACAGAAAAAATTATCATCGTCCTGTCCATAGCACGTTTAATTTCTGACATTTATTTTTTAACGACATCAGTCGATCGAAACACCCTGTGCTTTCTAACAAGCCGTGCTTGGTACGGGGCTGAGCGTGCATCGTAAAAAATGAAATCACAATCCCCCCGCAGCATTTTTGCCAGTGATCTACCGTTTTGGATGGTGTTATAGAAGAGTGAGCTAGTTAGAAATATGTATAAAGAATAAAATAAATATTTGGAAAGTAATCCATACAGAAAAATAAAAATGGAGTGTCTGTTTGTAATATTAAAATAACCGCTTTTTATTAAATGCATATGGATGTATACACGGTACATATAACAAAATAACATTTTTTACAATTTTTGTCTTTCTGTTCGTCTGTTTGGCCAGTATTTTATAAAATAACCGTGGCCGTCCTTTTATATTTTGTTAAGAACCTTTATATGTTGGTAAGATCGGGTGTTGTAGATGTCACTTAGCCACTAGTATTTTATAATGTTGTCAATTAGGCAAGTCAAGTGGTCATGGAGGTAAAAAATATTGAACACGAGAATTTATGGTGCTCAAGGCTTTATCGCCTTTAGCTCCATAAATTTTCGTGAGCAAAAAAGCTAAATGTCAATTAGCAAAATGGCAAATAGTATGCTATTAGATGGCCACTGGCATCTACCAATACCTTTAGTACCCTCAGAAAGATTGCCTCATCTTGAATATTAACTAATATTGAAATTTAGTACCATAACAAAAGTGTATTTTTGGAAATTTAAAGTTTTTTATAAACTCGGCAGTGCTAATCTCGGCACTTAGATTAAACATTAAAACTTGTAGAAAAAGTACGAAAAGATTATCACCGCTGTGGGAATCGAATCCACGTCTTCGGCATTCGCAGCCTAACACTTTAGCCACTAAGCTTAATCGCTGGTTGCCTCACCGACGAAATTCTTAACGTCTTTTATCTACATTGTTATTTAGCATTTGAAGCAATGCTTGGCGCATCTATTGTTATATCCTTTCCAGCATACAAACAATTTCGAATATCGTTTTTTCGGGTTCGATTTCCACAGCGGTGACAATCTTTTCGTACTGTTTCTACAAGTTTTAATATTTTAAAAGTGTATTTGATGCTTTTGGTCCGAATATGAGAATTAACAGAAGTCAACTGAAGTACTAATTTATAAAGAGAACAGGGCTTATTTGCAAATCATAAAAAAACATACGCATACAGCATAACATCGTCAACGGTTTGACAGTGCTACTGTAACAATCAAGTTATTACAGTGCGGCACGCGAACACTGTCACGAATTTGTGATTGGCTGAAATACTGTTCAGTCCGACGCTCGAATAGAAAATAATTTTTAATCTGTATAATTGTCTATGTACTCTATAGTATAGCATCTTTCGTTAACCGCCCTTTAGTTGAAGACTTCTTTTTATTCTAACCTTTCTTTTGAAGTGAAACTTCTGCAATTAATTTTTTATTTAGTATTTAAGGATATTTAAAAAAAAAGAATTAAATAGAAATAGATATTAAAATATACTTCTTTTATTTAATTTTAGATGAGTAATGGAGTAATATCAAATGCATACTGTTGAAATATTATTTACGTGAAATGAATTTAGAATTTATCTACATTTAGGTATTATAAATATGAATGTATTTTTTTCACTAAAAACTTTGTATCCCTGTATTATTATTTTAGTGTCTCTCCTAAATATTTGGTATTATACAATTTGTTTACGAGATGTATTCATCTTTATTAATACGAGTTTATCCATTCACGAAGACATTGTCTACAAAATAAAAGTACTATACTGTACTATACTATTGCTGAATATCTTGACGACGCCAATGTGTGGGGTTAATACTATTGATACTCACGTAGGGTAAAAGAAGACTATTATACATGTAACATTATATTGTATACTGACCTTTTAAAAAAGAGCAACTGTTGAGTTTCTTGCCGGTTTCTTGCCGGTTTCTTCTCAACAGAAACTGCTGTCCGATCCCGTGCTAACTTACGAACATATTAATTTCCTTGTAAAATTTCGACGTTTCATAAGAACGCGCAAGCGTCTATGTGAATAAAGATTTTTTATTATTATTGTTATTATAAAGGATTATATAATTACACACGCAGCGACGTTACGAGCGCTTGAACACTCTTCACTATGTAGCAATGACGATACGTCGTAATCTTTTAAAAACGACCTGTTACACGAGTATATCGCTTGTAGGCGGCGAATCTGGGACTTCGCATTCACCGTCGAATGCGCTAAGCCGTATGTAAGCCGTATGCTCAATGTATGCTCAAGCCGTACGTATGTATGTATGTATGCTCAATTTCAGATATGTAAAAGTACTCTTTGTGTATGCTAATGCGTTCAGCTTTATTTCGTAGCGCCTCGTTGGGTGTCTCTAACCGCTATATGCCCTCTAGACATAGTGGCGTTGTGTTATCGGGCGGCGGCTGATTATTAAATACATTAATTGCGCGCGTAAGGGAGTTGTCTAGATCGTCTATAACGTTCATTGGACGGCGTAGTCATGCACGGTCCGAGGCATAGATGATACACTTATATAGAGAGGTCCGAGGTCTCCGAGAGATATGTGAAATAGATTCCGAAAGCTTTCCCCAACGGATTTGCATTGGCGTTAATTCTTTTGACTGTGTCTTATCGACGTTTCAGTAAAGAAGGGATGTTACATTTAATTCGCGATGCAAATCGCCGTTCCATACGCCTGTTGCGCGACGAAGGAATTTATTTCGAATTATTTTTATTTGTAATGGCTTTAATCTATTAGGAGGCATATGTGTGAAACAGAAACTCGTATATGTTTTTTTTAATGGGTAATAGGGATTTTATATCATAATGGATTATAAAGATAAGGAAATCGCTACTTTTGTAA